AACCTTAAAACATTCCTGAGAGACGCAAAAATCAACTTGAGCAAATAAAGAGCAGAGCCTGTTCGTTCACGGAAGAGTTCACTGTCATAAATATGTCAGCGTTCCCTCTGTTAATTTATAACCTTAATATAATCCCAATAAAATTACCAGCAGGCTTTTTTTCCCCTGGTACTAGATAATCATACTCTCCAGCCTCCTATGGAGAATTAAAGAAGAGGCAGGAGCTTCCCGAGTAGCCAGACAGCCATGGCGGCCAGTCCTCAGATGTCAGCTGACCGCAGCCACAGGCAGACACACAGCCCGGGTGTCACAGAAACCCACCAGGCTTCGTGACGGCACCTTGTCACTGGGTGGTAATGACACACCCTTGGATTTGTGGCGGTAGAACAAATAGGGTGCTACTACCGTGACAATCTTGAGTATCCCCAATGGCCACACGTTAAAGACTTGGTCCCCAGTTTAATACTAGCCTTTGGAGGAGGGCTCTGTGGGCAGTCCAAAGTCGTTGTGAGAAGCCCTTAGAAGGCACAGTGGGACCTTCATCCTCTTCCTCTTTCTGCTTCCCTTCTGTAACGCGGGAAATGGTCTGCTTTCCACCTGCTTCTCCTCACAGGCCCTAAGGCGTGGGGCCAACTGCCCATGGAGCAACACCTCCAAACATGACTCCACACCACCTGCTCTTCTTTTCGGGTGGCTACCTCAGGCATGTGTCACAGGGAGAAGCGGACTGACGGCTATGTGTATATCCCAAAGAAGAACTGACGCTAAAGACATGCATTCTTGTTTAATTTTTAACAAGTGCTTTTAAAACGTTGATTGTTGTCATTAAGTAGTTACATGGAAGGGTTGCAGTTGCGTGAGTCAGGTTATGCGTACAGTGCTTCTTGGCTGCCACCCTTCCTTGGTTCCAGAGCTGGGTTCTTGAAGCTTGAAATCATGGGGCTCAAGTGGCAGAGTGCTTACCCAGCATGCAACTTACCTAGCCCCCATCAACTCTCCCCCTGCTCCCCCCTCAAAAGAAATGCCGCAGAAACCCCAGGCAAATTCTATTTAGCCTTTGAGTGAAGAAAGCTTTATATGAGTAAAGAAGGCCTTATAAACTAACTCAAACCTAGATGTCCTTGAAAAATAACCTTGGCTATGTGCAGATCTTACATGGGGAGAATATTTAACACTGTGTCACAGAGAGAAGTGGCCGAAGCTCTATCGTGTGTGAAGAGGCCGTGGGCACCAGGAAACCAGATGCCCTTCGGAGGAACGGCCAGAAGACTTTCGTAGGAAAGCTATTATGAATAGTAAATGTACAGTAAGGCTACACTGGAAAACTCATTTTTCACTCTTTCAGAGTGGCAGAAGTTCAAGCTCTTGACAAAATATTGTGCTCTAAAAGCACCACATGGTATATGTTTCAAAACTACTAATTCCTCTTTGCTTTGGCATCTGCCTTCTGGAAATTTGCATGCCAGCCATGCCTGTCTGCATAGAAGATAACTTAGAAGTTTGCAGTATTATTTGTGATTACAAAAGATGGCTGGACTGAAAGGACCTGATGCCCCTGGGAGAGGGAGAGGGAGGAGCCGAGCGGCCTCCTGGAGGGATGGATATTGAATCCTAACCCTGCACCCCGTAAAAACACATAGCTGCTGTGTGTCAGTTGCAACTCTTACTAGAGAAGGAAACACCGGGTCCTTTTGTTTAAGAAAAGGCTAGCTGAGTGTGTACACTCACACTCACGCCCATGAAGAAGGAAGGTTAGAGAAATAGATGAGAAACTGGCCTGGCCACAGAAAAGAGGCCGAGGAGGTAGTTGGGAAGCGGAGGGAAGCCTTCATTCATGGTTTTCTATAGCATTTCGATTTTGAGTCCTGAGGATACCACAACTGTTATGGCACATACAAAAAGGCACATGGAGTGCCCAAAGATGTGAGTGTCTGTGCATGCGTGTGCCTTGCACACACACACAGTACCTTGCCATTGAGGCCAGGTGCGCCTCCTGGCCCTCTTTGTTCTGAGGATTTCCACAGACGGGCACACCCAGCCAGCACGGGGCTAGCCACAGGGCTTGGAGGCAGCGGACGGACGCGGTGAACCCCTTTTGGCCATGGAGCTGCGCGTGCGCGGTGCTCTGGTTGATTCCTCACCCCTCTGGCCCTGCGGGAAGTGAGTTGTGCTCAGGCCAGAGGAGGGGTGAAGCCAGGCTCCTGCCTCCCGGCCCGGCACAAGCTCCACCCAAGTGCAGGACAGGGAGCCCTCGTGAGCAGTAAACAAACCCCAGCCCACTCGGGTCGTTTCCCAGCACACGGCTGCTACATGAGCACTGTACTGGGTACATGAGCACCCCACATCCCCCCCACACACTACTTTGTCTGATGATAACCAGTCATCAAGGCCTGCCTGCAGTCCACTGGCGCGCACAGCCGCCCGTGGGACCCTCGCCCGTCAGGAACCACAGCTCCTGCCTCTCTCAGACTTGGCCTCCTGCAGCCCCACTGCGGAACCCCTGTCTGGACTCACACACGCTATCCACAGTGCTCGTGGGAGGGAAGCTTGCCTCGGGCTCTCAGAGCTGCCACACAAGCCAGGAACCGCCGGCCCTGCCCCGGCCCCGGCCCCGTGTTGGTTCCACACTTGCTGCCTCCCTAGGGTGCCTACACTCGCCTTTGCGTTGCTTCTCCTCCTCACCTTCCTTTTCTTGCTTGGAATTCCCTGAAATCCTGACACACTGGCTCGGAGGCAGGTCGGGGTGACTTTCAGCGAGGGAAGGGAGAGGCCACCAAGAAACGGCATTTCCCTGCTTTTCTCTCCTCCCATCTTCCCCTCCTCCTCCTTCCCTCCCCTGTCCCCCCCCCCCCCCCCACCGCTTTCATGTGACACCGACAGCAGCTAGGAGAGCCCGGGGAGGCTGCCCGGCCTGGCCTTGGAGCCCCAGGCCTCTGCCTCCCAGGCCCATGCTTCAGCGAAGCACTCGCCTTCAGTCCCTTTCGGAGGAACACCTCGGCCTTGGCGCGTTCCGGCAGTGGGAGCGGCACCCAGCCTCCTTCGTCTGCAGAGTGGACTAGGGGAGGGCAGGAAAGGAGAAAGGGCTATTCTTGCTGGTTCTGCCAGGCGTGACAGCCTTATCAAAACAGATCTCTTAATATACACCTCATAATCACCAGACGGCTCTGACGGCATATTAAAGTCATCCTTCCAGAGCCTCTGACTTAGGAGCTCGGATCCACATTAGTAGGATATGAATTAATGTCACTTTATTACTCTTTGATGAGACGTGTTGACGGCGCCTCCTCAGAAGCGTGGGCTTTGATTTGACTTGTGGAACTTCTCGTTTGAAAACAGAGGTGCCTTTCTCAGAACACTGCTGCCGCCACTGCAGAAGGAGCCTGAGCTTTCTCCCCGACCTGGGGGCCAACCAGGCCGTGCCTTTTGCCTCATCTGAAGCAAGGAACTTCCTAAGTGGGTGTGGCTTCGTTGCTTCAGCACAGTCCAGGAGCTTGTGCTGGCTGACGAGAGCCAGACCACCTCCATCTTTCTGAATTCCCACTTCCCCAGACCAGGCCAGAGACGCACGCGCCTCATCCATTCTTACATGTGAGGAGACACCTGCTCTCCACCAGAGCTCCCCTGAGCAGGGCAGGGTGGGCTCCCTGGGCCCAGTGGCCAGTGGAGGCTTCTCCCGCCACCCTGAAGGGCTGGCTTTCCTCTCTGGAGAGCCAAGGGGATATGATAGCAGAATGCAACTTTCGTCATTCTGAGTTTAATTCCGTTGGCCAAGTCTCAATCTTTGTCTTTTCTTTTTTTCTTGGTGCTCACTCATACTAGGACTTGAACTCAGGGCCTCAGCCTCTCTCTCAGCGGTCTTGATGACAGGCGACACTTTACCACCGGAACCACACCTCCAGTTCCGGCTTTTGCTGACTAGGGATAAGGTTTTAAACTGTGATTTCTAGATCTCAGCCTCCTGATTGGCCAGGAGTATAGGCATGAGCATTGCCACCCACCTATCGGTCCTCATTTTACTAGCTTGTCCCCTAGAGCAGAGCTTTCTGGGAACCGGTGAAAAGCGCGTGTCACTCCCGCTGTGATATGCAGAATGTCACGTGGATGGTGATGGGGGTGTGCGCATCCTGGCGTGTCACACAGCTGTTCCTGCCACCGCCCTTCCCGAGTTCTCTAATCTCTGTACCTTTCTAAACCTCCGCTGGGGCCTCTGCTGGCGTGGGGAGGATCCAGGGCTTGAACCTGCGTTTTGTTTTTAGCCATGCTGCCGTTCCTCTCAGCTCTGTAGGCCTCAGGCCCCGACCCTGGCCCTCGGCCTGTGAGTGTGCGAGGTGTGGCCGGATTGCTCTCAAGAGGCTCTTGTACACACGGTCCCCAGTCAGCCAGCCTGGTGCGGGTGCAGCTCCCACATGGCACCAGCCTCAGAGCCAGGCCGGGGCCTCTGGAAAAGCCTGGAAGGCTCCTTTGCCCTCCACCCCGAGGCCTCAGTCTTGCCCTCGGTGCTGCTCCTGGGAGTGTTTGGCACCACCGGTGCCTACAGGACTTCAGCCCCGTTCCGCCCTGCTTCAGGACTCTACCCACCTTCTTCCTCCTAGAGCAGGTATGGTCAGGGACCAGCCTTCTGGAAGCACAGTTACACTATGCCCGCAGGACATAGAGGACTCATAAACATGTATCTGCACTGGTGGTTTATTTCTTCAAGCAGCGGCAGCAGTCTGAGCAGCGCAGACCATGGGTCTGTCCTGGTGGGGGAGGCGGGCAGAAGGCAAGGGCGGCACAGCCCTGGCCAGCCGGCAGGGCGCAGGGTGGGGTTTCAGAGCGCCGCTTCTGAGAGGGTGTAGGGTCCTGGCCCTGGCCCTAAGTTGTGAGGGGAGATGCTGGGGCCTCCCAGCCCCCCCCCATGGTCCCCCTTCCCACCCCCCCTCCCACCCCCCCCCCCAGGGCCCCCCCTCCCCCCCCCCCCCCCCCCCCCCGCTCACGGCCTCTCTCCTGTCCCCCTGCAGTCATGCCAAGCTGACCTCGTGAAGGACAACGGTCACAAGTACTTCCTCTCCGTCCTGGCAGACCCCTACATGCCAGTAAGAATCAGCCTCACTTCTGCGGCGGGCCCCGGGTCTCTGGCTCTGATTCCGCATGCTCTGTGCGGAGGCCGGCCAGCCGGGCTCTGTGGTCCACGCCCGTGGCGCTGTCCTTCCTGCTCCTGAGTTAGGTCTGCTTCCCCTGCAGCGGTACCTCGGGCCTCTGAAGGTTCCGGAACGTGACCACCCGTCAGTGCGGCTTATTGCTAGAAGGATGGAAGGAAAGGAGGAGGAAGGGATTCAGTGAAAGTCTAAAGTATTTGTTGCCTGAAGTTCTTCAGTGGTGGAGGAGAACTTTTTATGTTGTATTTATGATTTCACCAGAACAGTATCCACCTGATTGGTATATCAAAAGTAACTTGTAACGGTGTGCTTAAATGCACCTCTGCTGACGATACAGTTAAACATTACTGTAGTAAGATCGTACATACTTTATAGACTCATTCCTTCCTGTCCCGTTCCTTTTTGGTGCTGATCCTGAGACTTGAGCTAAGGCCCTGCACACTGTCCCTCAGCTCTACCAATTGGGCCACAGCTCCACTCCTAGTGTTGTTGGTAGTTTTAGGGGAGATGGGAGTCTCAGAGTAAGAGTTAGAACTGAGAGTTCTAAGCTGGAGTCTGGGGCGGGATGGTCAGCTGAGTGGACGCGCATAGGCCCCACCTCCGCTGTAGACGAGGCTACGTGGCACAAGACTGAGGGAAGGGCAGGGTGCCCAGGCTCTTCACACTGACTTGATGCCCCCGGCACCTTCTGACAAAGAGCTAGACCAGGCCCAGGCTGTCCTGAGAATTTGCATTCTGAGAGAGCAGCGTCCCCTTAGAGCCAAAGCTGCCAGAGCCTGCATGCATTAATTAATTAATTCAGTCAGTCCTGGGGCTTGAACTCAGGGCCTGGGCAATGTCCCTGAGCTTTTTTGCTGAAGGCTAGCTCTCTATCACTTGGAGCCACAACTCTACTGCTGCTTTTTCCGTTGGTTCATTGGAGGCAAGAATCTTAGATTTTCTTACCTGGCCTGGTTTGGAACCACAATCCTTAGATCTCAGCCTCCTGAGCCTATAAAAATGCTGCTGTGTGTGGCATCAAAGACAGCTGGAAGGCTGGCGAACATTACTTAAGTCTGTATCCTTCTTACCATGAGCATTTTGAGGGCAGTGTCATGTTTGGGGGGGTGGCAGGTCTTCATTGTGGGGAAGGTGCATAACACGGTGACTTGTTTTCCAGGCTGAACATCGGACCATGACGGCTTTCATTCTTGCTGTGATTGTCAACAGCTACACCACCGGGCAAGTGAGTGTTGCCGCCAGCCCCTGCCCTGGCAAGGAGGGGCGTACACCCATGGCACACGCATGGAGAAGGGGGACGTAGGCCAGCCGCCCCGTCCGCAGGGGCTGCTTGGCAGTCGGCAGCCGGTCTGCCTGCCTCGGGAAGCGGGGCCACCAGGGAGCCCAGCCCCCAGACCAGGAGAAGAGGGGTACACAGGGAGCCCAGCCCCCAGCCCAGGAGAAGAGGGTACACCAGAGAGCCCAGCCCCCAGACCAGGAGAAGAGGGGTACCAGGGAGCCCAGCCCAGGAGAAGAGGGTACACCAGAGAGCCCAGCCCCCAGACCAGGAGAAGAGGGGTACACCAGAGAGCCCAGCCCCCAGCACAGGAGAAGAGGGGTACACCAGAGAGCCCCCACCCCCAGACCAGAAGAAGAGGGGTACACCAGAGAGCCCAACCCCCAGACCAGGAGAAGAGGGTACACCAGAGAGCCCAGCCCCCAGACCAGGAGAAGAGGGGTACACCAGAGAGCCCAACCCCCAGACCAGGAGAAGAGGGTACACCAGAGAGCCCAGCCCCCAGACCAGGAGAAGAGGGGTACACCAGAGAGCCCAACCCCCAGACCAGGAGAAGAGGGTACACCAGAGAGCCCAGCCCCCAGACCAGGAGAAGAGGGGTACACCCAGCAAGGGGTGGGCCCCACTTTTAGCTCATCCTTGTAAATTTTAATCAGCAAGATGTTAAGTATAGGAAAATAGGATCTTGTAACACGGCTGGGCCGGGCCACTCGCTAGGCCTGGACCACGGTCCCACTGCCTGCGTCCCCCCCACAGGAGGCCTGCCTACAGGGGAACCTGATCGCCATCTGCCTGGAGCAGCTCAGCGACCCGCACCCCCTGCTCCGCCAGTGGGTGGCCATCTGCTTGGGGAGGATCTGGCAGAACTTTGACTCCGCGAGGTGGTGTGGGGTGCGGGACAGCGCCCACGAGAAGCTCTGCAGCCTCCTGTCCGACCCCATCCCCGAGGTGAGCTGCCCGGCGAGGTCCCTCCCTGGCGGGTACTGTCTGTGGAAGGGTCCCATGTGCGTGAAGCGAGCAGTACAGCCACGTCCCGTGGGCCGGGGCCGGGCCTCTCCGTACTACAGAAAAGGAGAGGGCCCGGGGCCCAGGCCTCATGCTGGGGTGGCTGGAGAAGGTGCTGGGGGCTGCCCCTGTCTGCCACACCTGCCAGCTGGCAGAAGGGTGAGGGACCCCTGGCACCTGCCGTCACCCCCGCTGCCTTAAGTGCCAGCCACTGGCACCTGCATCGCCCCGCCATCTTAAGAGTCGGCTCTGGGGCCTGCCATAGCCCCACCGCTCAGGGCCCGCGGCGCTTCCGGCCAGTCGCTGCTGCTCCTTGGGGACCAGACTGTCGCCGTGGGTCCCGTCTGAAAGGAAAGAGCCGGGAGATGTCATTACTCACGAGCTGTTCTTAGCACGGTGTAACGCATGGAGCAGAGCTCAGAGCAGTTGGAAGAGCAGCTAGACACGCTGGGGGGGGGACACTGGCCGTGTCCTCCCGGGCCTGTGCCCGCCCGCAGAGATGACCACATTGTTCTCAGTGGCCTTGCAGCCAGCAGAAGAAGCGGGGGAGGGGGTCCCCTGGTCCCTTACTAGCGCCCCTGAGGTAACCAGGGGTTGGCCGGAGGAGGCGCAGCTCTTCCTGGCCCGAGGCCCAGCAGCCCTAGGCGGGGCTCGGGCTTCCCAGCGCTGGAGCCAGGACCCGCAGGCCGCCTCCCCGGGCTTCCCCATGTCTGGCACACACGGGCACAAACCAGAGCTGCAAACACCAGGATGGTGCTAACATGCCACATGGAGCATGAAGAAGGAAAGGCAGCTGTGACACAGGCGCTGTGTAGAAAGCTCTGGAAACGTGGCGGGCTCAGCCCAGCTGGACAGCGTCATCAGTTTTTGCCTGGAACAGCACGGGCAGGAGCTGGGCTGGGCGCCTCTTCCGTGGGGGTGCACCCGAGGAAGTGGTTGAGTGGAGCTGCTCCTTGAGCACGTTGTGCCTGTGTCCCCAGGACGCCAGTGCTGGCTCTGGGAACGGCTCTGGACCCTGCGGTGCTGGTCTGGGTCACCCATATGGCCTTGGACAGCACCACAAGTCATGCTTACCTCCCCGGGTTCCCCCAAAAAGCAGAATGTTCCTTAGAAACCTGAGGACGTGAGGAGCCAGGCTGTGCGTTGGCAGGTGGTTCACAATGGGACGTCTGCCCAGTCAGGCTAGGCCAGTCCTCCTCGGTGACAGGGACCGGTGCCCCCGCCAGGCCCAGATCCCGCCTCCCCCGTCGACTAGAGACAGTACTGCCCTTCCGGGGGAGCTCCCCTCTGGGCAGGTCTCAGAGGGCCTCGCTGGAGACCACAGGACACCAGAGCCCCTGACCCGGCCGCTGCCCGTGCTGTCGTGGCCCGCTCCGAGGCCTCCAGGAGCGCTCTTGGCTTGGTTACTTTCCCCTTGCCTCCCACGGTGTTTGGTCCAAATCTGTTAGGAAGATGGTTGGCTTGCATACCCCGCTTGTTCTTGGTGCTGCTGGACCTTTTCCTCAGTGACAACCGACTCTTGGTTTCTCGGTCACTAGGCCCCGCACCCCCTGCGCAATGCAGATGCGGACCAAGCAGAACCGCGGGGCACAGGCTCAGAGCAGCTGCATGTTTGGAGAAGTCAGGGCCGTGGGCTGTCTGCTGAGCAGTGGCTCCTGGCTTGGGGCTGAGAGGCACTAGACCTTCCCATCTCAATTCCCTTCCCATCTCAACCCCACCCCGTGACCGTGTGCGTGTGTATGCCAGCACTGGGAGCATCCATTGTGAAGTCTTTAGAGATAAGGAAACAGGTTCCATGGCCTTGGAGATGACAGCAGTGCGTGCCACACTCCCCACTGTCCCTCAGCCCCCAGAGGCTCCGCCAGCGCCCGGGCCTTCCTCACTTGCCACGTCCTCTCCTCCAGGGCCTGGCCTAGGCTGCTTCTACAGGGCATCCCTGGCCACAGCCCCCTCCCCAGCATTCCTGCTTCCCTCAGCCATGAATGTCCAAGTCCATGGTGCCTGGCTGGCCTATTGATTCCAGAAGACGCACACTTGCTGCCTCTGCTGCCTGGTCCTCCGCTCCTGGCTGGGCCACGGTGCTTGGCTTGGCTCCCTGGGCCTCCCACCCCTGTTCCATCGACAGCAGTGTGCCAGCAGAGCTCTGTTCAATAAGTACTTGTGAAATTGAATTGAGCTGAGCTTCCCTAAATTGGATTAACTTGCTGGCCGGCGGCGGCAAGCCCACGCAGGAGTGTGGCTGTGACCCCCCGTCCCTCCCTTGCAGGTCCGCTGTGCAGCTGTCTTTGCCCTTGGCACCTTCGTGGGCAACTCTGCCGAGAGGACAGACCACTCCACCACCATCGACCACAACGTGGCCATGATGCTGGCGCAGCTGATCAACGACGGGAGCCCCATGGTCCGGAAGGTATGTGGGCCCACACCGCACCCGGCCCCGCGGCCCGGGGCTGGGCCAGCACTCTCATCCCCCCCCCCCCCCGCCATCAGTCCAGCTTGTCTCTTCAAATGCCTGATTCTCTGTGTGTGTGTATGGCAAGTTCCTTCCTGCCTTGAACGCATGCACAGCTCATGCTGGAAGAGCGGGGGACCACCTGCAGATGGCAGGGTTCTGCAGCGTGTGCCCCTCTCCCGGCCGGCAAATACCTGCGTCTGTATGAAAGCTCTTCATCGTCTGTGTAATGCAGCACTGCAGTGGATAGTCTCCCACGGTTCACACCCTGTGTTAGGCTGGTTCCACGCAACCTGCTTGTCCTGGGCTCCAGAATACAGGGCTGACAGTGGCCGCCTTCCAAGAACATAGTTTGGTTGAGAGTCAAACCAATAATTACAGTGGCGGCACTTGTAAACACAAGCCGCCTCCAGGAGGCCCAGAGTGCTCCGGCGCCCCGTGCTACCTCTCTCCCCTTGCTAGTGGGGTGGCCAGCAAGGTTGGGGATGTACAGGGCAGGCGCTGTGCACCAAGGCCAGGGACAGGCAGGGTCCTGAGGGCTCCAGGACCGCCCGTCGGCTATACAGCCAGACTGCCAGCAGCCAGGCCAAGCAGCCTGGGCTGGCAGCGCGGTGCCTAGTGCCCAGGTCCCTGTGTCGAGACCGGGCCTTCCGTGAAGTACTTCGGTTCTCACAGATCTGTCTCAGCAGCAGTTGTTGTCAGGAGTGGGACTTGTGTCAGGTCCGTGTCAGCCACTTGCAGTGCATCTTCCCTGGCCGGGCTGGTGTCCTCACGGGAAATGGACAGCCAGTTGCAGGTCCCGGAAATGCACTGACAAGGTGTGCTTGGAGGAGGGACAGTGAGTTAGAGGAGGAAGAGTCCTGGTGAGTCAGGGAGGCATCTGTGAAGAGGTGGCAGGGAGCACTGACTCCAGGATGCAGGCCTCCGTTCCTTGCACTGACTCTGCCATCGCAGCTTGCTCTCCCTTTAAGAGCCGCCCAGCACAGGGAGCCCCCAGCGAGGACGGGAGACCCGGCTCCACGGAGTGGCCCAGACGCAGCCCGGAGCACAGAGCTGGCCGCGTCTCCCACACCGCTCTTGCTTACCGGGCCCACGGTGCACGCGCTCCGGGGCTGGGAGCTTGGCAGCAGTGCAGCTCAGCGGCCCACGCGTGAGGGAGGAGCAGGGGCACTGCCGCACCCGTTCCCGGGCACTGGGCCTCCCAGGGAAGCGCCCGCCGTCTCAGAGCCGCCTCCGCCGTTGAACTTGAGCCTGTCCATGTGGCACAGTCTACGTGCACCGACAGCCACCTTCCGGCACCGACGGGGCCAGGCTGGCGGCCAGTGTGGGCTCCTCTCTCCCTCGGGACCTTGGTTTGGAGCTCACACGTTGTTGGCCTTTGATGCGCTGCAGACACTTTGTCCAGGTTTCTCATGTTTGGCCATCGCCAACAAACTAGATCTTTTGGATTTTAGCAGTACTGGGGTTTGAACTTGCTTTGCTGAGCAGTCATTCTGCCATTTGAGTCACGCCCCCAGCCCTTTTTGGCTTTAGTTATTTTTCTGATCGAGCAGCACATTTCTGCCCAGGTCACACTCATATCTGGGACCACAGGACAAGCTTCCCACACGGCTGGGATTGCAGGCGTGAACCGCCACATCCCCTTTTTGTTGGACAGGAGTCTCTGTCACTCACCACCTGTGCTGCCCTTGAACAGAGATCCTTACCGCTCTGTACTGTCCAAGCAGCAGGGGTATCGCTCTGGGCCACCACACTCAGCCCACAGAAAGAACCTGAGGCAGGGCTGGGAAGGTGGCTCAGTGGTAGAGCGCTTGCCTCGTATGCATGAGGCCCTGGGTTCGATTCCTCAGCACCAGATAAGCAGAAAAAAAAGCCGGTAGTGGCGCTGTGGCTCAAGTGGTAGAGCGCTAGCCTTGAGCTGAAGAGCTGAGGGACAGCGCCCAGGCCCAGAGTTCAGCCCCATGACCGGCCAAAAAAACAGAACCTGAGGCAGCACATGCTGGACCACAGAGTGGCCTGGCCCTGGGGGCAGCCGTATGAGGAGAGGACTTGGTGTGGGAGCTGGTCCCTGTGGTGTGGGAGCTGGTCCCTGCGTGGGGCTCTGCCTTATCACAAGGCAGTGGTCCGCCTGCCGCAGTAGTCTGGGAGGAGCACGGAGTCCGGTCTCCCCTGGATCACCACGGGTCTGAAAGACAAAGCTCAGTGCATTTGGCACTATTAAGGAAAATACTCATTTGAGGCTCGGTGGTCCGTGACCCAAATCTGCTCTTCTCAGGAAATTCTCCTGAAGGCTGGGGTGGGTGTTGCTCAGTGACAGAGCATCTGCCCAGCGGGTCTGAGGCATCTCAGAGAGCAAGCGGTTCCCCAGAGATGCATTGCAGAAGAGAGAGCAGGAGGGGTGGGTGTGTGGAGGGGACTGAGTAGAGTTGGGTGGAGGACTGAGTGACAGAGCCTGGGGGGGCACAGCTGGGGACGGGGGCCTCTCCTGGCTGAGGGTCCAGCAAACTCAAAGCCAGGGCAGAGGCCATGACAGAGGAGAGAGCCTGGGCATGGGCATCCGGGAAGTGACGGCCCGTGTGCGCAGGGCATGCCTTGTGAGCATGGTCTGGCACTGTGTGAGGGGCCGGCCGGCTCGCCAGAGGCTCTCCCTGGGGAGCATCTGATTTCCTGGCACAAGGCAGAGCAGAGCAGGCCGGTAGTGGGGAACTTACATTCTGCCAGAGGCTGTGTAGATATTTATAACATCATTTGCAGGTCATATGAAGTTCCCAGTGCAGGCAGACAGGCCGTGGACAGTGGACAGCATGTGTGTGTGTCCCGGCCCTCCCATGGCCCACGGGCTGGACACCCCCAATGGAGAAGGGCGCTGGCTGTGAAGAGATGCCGCCAACCCACTCTGGCTGCAGCCCTCAGACCTGCCGGGCAGAGCCGGCACTGGGAAAGGCAGCTGTGAGTTGGCAGGATGAGAAGGGAGAGCCTGGTGGCCCGGCCAAAGCCCTGCTGACCCTGCTCCTGGGTGCCACAGCACCTCAGCCGAGGCCTCTGGCTTGGAGGGCCGGGGCTTCTCGCAGCAAGCACAGGACTCTTTCTCTCGGCTATCTTAAGTGAATAAGTAAAACGCAGATAAAGTTGTCTATGGTTTTAATAACATGGTGGAAAGCATTTGTTTTTTATAAACCTCCGTATTCTTCTCTGCTTCCCTGGGACTGGTCGGATCTCTGAGCACGCACGTCATTGCACAGAGCATGCTGAAGGAGATGTAAGTCGTGCTAGCTCCTTGGCCTGCAGCCTTTGGGGCTGGAGATCTTTCTTCTTCCTCCCCTCTCAGAGGCTGGGGGCTGGTAGAGCTGCAGAAGCTTTGTAGTTGCTGGAGAGCAGTGCCGGCTTGTCAGGTGTGTCCTGCCCCATCTGGCCTCCAGGCTGCCAGTTCAATGGAGATAGGCAATTTTGGCCAAGGCCACAGAACAGATCATAAAGGAAAAGCCAAGATGTGTGATTCTTACCGTGGCTTCATTGTGTCATTGCAGGGCAGGTGCACAGGGCAGGTGCACAGGTCATGCTAGGCAGGCCCTCCAGGAGCCTCTGCCTGCCACCCAGGCACACCCTGCTTCCCGGAGGCCTCTGCTCTGGGTCCAGATGCCTGTGGGAGGCTTGCTCTGACCTGCCTCTGCCTGCCGACAGCTTAGGCATCAGCAGGTCTGCTGTCCAGGTGGTTTCCAGCCAGGGACAGCGAGACTAAGCGCCCCTTCTCCCCCTCCACAGGAGCTGGTGGTGGCTCTGAGCCACCTCGTTGTTCAGTACGAGAGCAACTTCTGCACTGTGGCCCTGCAGTTCATGGAAGAGGAAAAGAACTACCCCCTGCCTTCCCCGGCGGCCACAGGTACAGCAGCTCCTGCGCACCCGGCCACGCCCCTCCACCAGCTCCCTCAGCCGCCAGTCAGCTGGGCCACGTCTGAGCTTTTGGAATGTCCCTCGTGTCCCTTTTTTTCCCCCAGGACTTTAGCAGAATGCAGGGGGCAGGAAGAGGGCCATGCCCACCCCCCTGCTCTTTCCCTTCACCGTTTTTAGAAATCAGATTTGTGGGAATGTTGAAGCATGGCTAACTGCTCTGAGAGGGGCTTGAGAAAAGAACATAGCCATCTTCCCGAGATGAGTAATGGCATCATGTTGTGATCAGGTCCCTGTGAGTCACGTTCGGAAGCGCCTCTCCTCACATTTGTCCTTTTCCACGCACATCTCCTCACCATGGGCCCCTCCCCCCTTCACAGGGAAGAAGGCTCGTGATCCGTCACAAAGGCAGTGGGCAGGGAGTGAAAGGAGGGGGTGTGCGGCCCAGTCCTTCTGTGACGGGCACTTCCCTGCTCCCCTCAGGCAGCCCCGGGCCCAGGCCCTCCCTGGGACATGGCAGCGGCGGCGAGCTCCTGGTCGTACATCCTGTGTGTGGGTCACACACAGAGCAGCTGTTCATTGCTCCTCTGTCCGGCCAGGGCCCACACTGAATGTCCGATGCCCACTGTGTGCTCTACCCGTCTGGTCCCGTCACAGCCACTCCCCTTCTGTGAACTCAGCCCTCCCAGACACCTCCCAGCCTAACTCTCTGCCTTCCCTGCTTTATCCTAGAGGGTGGGAGCTTGACCCCAGTGCGAGACAGCCCATGCACCCCCAGACTTCGCTCTGTGAGCTCCTATGGGAACATCCGAGCCGTCACCACAGCCAGGAGCCTGAACAAATCCTTGCAGAATCTCAGCTTGACGGAAGAATGTGAGACCCAGGGTTGGGAGGACTTGGGGTGACCCTCTGGGGGACTTCCATCTCAATCCCCGCCCTCTGCCTGTCCCTTTGTCTGCCACGAGTGTGGCCCAAGCTTCCTTCTGCCCTAGAGTGAGGCAAGGGACAGGTCAGTGCCCCGGACAGCGGGAGGTGGTCACGACCCACCAAGAGACACTCGGGGACCCCGAGGGCTGCAATCCCCCACTTCCTGGAGATGGGGGACGGGGATTGCACCAGTGAGTGCACACGTGCACGTGGATATCTGTATAGGTGTCTGGCGTGTGCACACGTCCAGCCAGGGTGCACATATTTGTTGGTGTGTGCACTTCACACATGCACATGCACATGTGTCTGGCGTGTATGTAGTGTCAGCATATATATGCGATTGTGTGGTGAGCTTTGCTTTCAGAGGAAGCTCATGTTTCACTCGGGCTGTTCATTAACTGAGACCAAAGGAGGGTGGTGCTGGGTGCCACCCGTCCTGACTTGCTTTCTCCTGGCTCTGGCCAGCGGGCAGCTCCGTGGCGTTCTCCCCGGGGAACCTGAGCACCAGCAGCAGCACCAGCAGCACTCTGGGCAGCCCTGAGAACGAGGAGTACATCCTGTCCTTCGAGGTCATCGACAAGATGCGCCGTGTCAGCTCCTACTCGGCCCTCAACTCCCTCATAGGTGAGTCCCGGCCCCTCCCCGGACCTGCACGGCCTTCTGCGTCAGGTAGACGGGCCCAAACTACCCCAGCTGGACAAGGAAAGGTAGAAGTGAGGCGGATGTGAAGGAGTGGGAGAAGTGCTGCCCGGGTCTCGGGAGCTGAGGCCGCATCGGACTGTGGAGTGTCACGCCGCGTTGGGGTGCGGGAGCTGGTCACCTGTGTGGTGCAGGAAGGCCACTGGCCGCCACCGCCTGCCCTTTGTGGGGAGAGAAGCTCCCTGGGCTGGGCCCTGGCCAGGCTGAGCCCTGGTTCCTATGGGAAATGCGTAGCCCCAGGGTCCTGCCGGTGTGGGCTGAGGAGAGTGGTGGGCGGGGTCCCGTCCCATGCCCAGCAGTGCCGTGCTCACCAGCGCACAGCATCAGCGGCTTGAGCACCTCCTCATAGGGCAGAGGCTTGCTCCCGAAAGCCCCCTGGGTGAGATCGGGAGGATCCCGGCTCAAGGCCAACCCAGGCAGCCAAGTCCATGGGGCCTGGCTGTGACAGAAAGCCTAACAAAATTAGAGGGCCCTATCCCAGGTGTGCACAGCTGGGTGGGAAGTAAGCCCCTATGTGTACAATAACCAGTATGAGACGGGTGGAGGCATGGCTTTGCAGTACAGCACCTTCATGACAAGCAATAAAACCCTGAATTCAAACCCCAGGACTGTCAAAAACAAAACAAAAATCTCACGTCCAGCGTTGTCTCTGTGGCAAGGCGGGGCTCGCTCTGCTCTTCCTGCCGCTGCTCCCGGGGTCCTGGCTGCTTTCCGTCTTCTGACCCTCCTCCTGGGCTGGCAGTGCCTCGGCCCGCTGCGGCCTCCCCCAGGCCTGCGTGGGCCCGTCCCACGCATGGCTCCCCACTCATGGGGATGGTTCCTTCACAATTATCCGGGTTGTTCTTTACCCTCCTGCGTGCCTTTTGTCAGTGAGGTCCAGTGTGCTCACAGGCATACTGATGGTAGTTCTCCCTGGTTGTAGAACTTGAGCTGAGACTTCCCGAAGCCACCTGTCAGCCCAGGACCCGTGAGGACGTGCCCCACGGGCCTGAGCTGATGGGTGAGCCTGCGGAGCTGCCGGGCTGCCGAAGGCCCCGGCTGCTTCCCCTGAGCAGTCAGCACAGTGCTCGCTTGCGCAGTGGACGCTTCCGGTCAGGGGTTTAGAAGTCCGGCCCGGCCCGCTCACTCATCTCCTGATGGAGGCCTCGCTGGCCTTGGTGGTGTGAGAATGGAGGAGTCCTGTTTTGTCTGCACACAAGAGAGAACACAAGTTTGCCTGTGTGTCCAGGGAGCGGGACCCACATCCTGACCCCGCCCCCCGCTCACACTGACGCTCAGCTCCCCCTGGGTCCTTCAGATCCTACAAAACGAGAAGGGAAATATTTTTAGATTAGGTTTTTGGAAAGAAAAGTAAGACCACAATGCGGCGTTGCTCCAACCTCAGCCCCGTGCCTCGTTAGCAGGGCGGCACGCTCACCCAGCTGCAGCTGCCGTGTTCACACAGCCACTGTGCTCACAGCACGTGTTCACGTGGCGCACAGGGTCCCTTGCCCATTGACAGCTAATTTCTTTTTCATTTCAACCAAAGAGCAGCAGTCTCTTCAGCCTCTTGCATATTGCAGAAAAAGTTTGCACAGACATGGCAACCTAGTATATGGGCATTTTGGTGTCTGTTCCCCAGACCAGCTCCTTCCAGAAACCCTGGCCCTGCCTCGGCCCTGCCTCCCCACCAGGGTCCCGCGTGTGCCCTGCCGCCGTGGCTGCAGTCAGTCACCTGCACACAGCAGGGCCAGGCCACGGCAGGGCAGTGTATCTGAACTGGATCCCAGGCCTCCAGACCTCCCACGTCTGAGATCTGACAGCCAAGTGTAACCCGAAGTGAGTCCTTCCCCATTTTAGGGCTCCGCGTACTCGGGCGGTATCTCAGCTCACACTCGGCCACTTGCTGGAGAGCATCTGGCTCTCCTGAACAGTCCAGCCTAGTGCTGACTTCTGCCTCTCAGCAGGTGAGTCCTGCTGAGTGCAGGCATCTCCACAGCACCCCAGGGTGGTTTCCAGCCCTGTGTGTGAGACCCAAGCCCCTGCCATCCCCCAGCTCATAGCAAGGGGCTCTTCTTGGGCAGTGTCTCCGCCACATCTCCACGTTGCGTCAGTGCCATTTTGTTCTCACATTTCTGTGAAGTGGTTCTTGCTGAGGTGTGCGGTGAGCAGCCCTGCCTGCCCTTCCGCCTCGCCCCATCCCTCCTCCTCACATTCCCCGTGCTCAGGGTGGACAGTGCGCAGAGAGGGTGTGCCGGCCTGTGTCCAGAGCCCACCGTGCTGCCCCCCTCCTGCTGCCCTGGCGGTGTGCCCAGCGTGCATGCAGTGCCACACTCCATTGAGCTCCATCCGCCAAGGCTCTGCTCCAGGCCTGTCACTCTGATTCTGTCAGAGACAGGCATGCAAGACTGCTTCTGTTTGGGGACCTCACAGAGAGGTGTGGCAGCCTCCAGCCTGCGGCTCAGCATGGAAATCTTGTTCTGAGGGTCCTGAGCCTCAGAGCCAGGACCAGCGTTTTCACAGCTCTACCAGTGACAGCATTTTGAAAACCCGTCTCCATGGCAACCAGTCCCAGGTAGAGCTGCTGCCGGGGCAGGAGGGCGCCAAAGGCCAGCAGCAGCGGGGAACTAGCCTCTGCCACCCTCAGTGCCGAACCCTGCCCTGCAGCACCCAGGACTCCCTGCCAGTCCAGGGGAACCTCTAACCCTTCCCAAGAGTCAAACTTTGCACCCTGTCGCAGGGTGCAGCTCGGAGGCCCTGCAGCTGTGGCTCCTGGGAGGTCCGGGTTTGCGTGATGCAATCACAGGGCCTTGGCTGAAAGGAGCGCAGGCCCACTGTTAACGCTGGCCAGGAGGCAGCCAGGGGAGCCCCTCTCCCTGCTTCCGCAAGACTAGGACATTTCTGCCAGAAAACGGCAGTGAGGATGAGCAGATGGGTGTGCAATGTCACGTGACGGCCAGCCCCTGGGAAGCCCCGCGAGAAGGACTGGCGTGCCACGGGTGCCCGGGGCCCCGCCAGAAGGCCGCTGGCCTCGAACGGCCCAGGCTCCCACCCCGGCCTGCCACCTTCGCCCCCACGGGAGTGGCCCTGGGACTGAGGGCGCCGCGCTTGTGGGGAGCCGCGGGCGACCATAGCACTGCAGGGCCCAGGAAGCCGGCGGGTGGAGCGGGTTGTGGTGGTTTCCCTAAAGCCCCTCTGAGCCCTGGTTCAGCCCTGGAGAGGTGAATATCACCCAGTCACCAGGGCAGGAAGGGGTCTCAACAGAGGGACAGACAGAAATCCTGAGCCTTAGGAATTGTTTCCAAGGGGAGCTCAAAGGTTCTCGGCCACCCACGCCCAATGGGAAGGCGTGACCCCACTCTGCTGACCCCTGGAGACTGAGGACCGCGGCTCTCTCCTCCAGTGAGGTTCCTGGGCCCGCTGGGGCTCCAGAGTTTAGACTTGGCCACAGCCCCAAGCAATTTCCCTCCATCATATGCTGTTCAGAAAGCGGTGGCCGCTGCTCGGAAAAAATCAATCCCAGAACGTTTGTTATGGTCTTTTATTACTTCCAGTCTAGACACGAAAATCAGCCTTCCGTAGTCAGAGCTCTGCGCGTAGCAGGCAGCTCTTCAGCCCGCAGTTCAGCCCTCCCAGCTCCTGCCGCCCCCGGGCAGGACCCGTGTCCTCACTCAGCCCTGTGGAAGTTCCGTTTTAGAGAGGGCAGACTTAAAAGCAAGACAGCGGGACTGGGAATGTGGCTCAATCGTAGAGTGCTTGCGTAGCAGGCATGAAGCTTCAGTACCACATACACAGAAAAGGCTGAAAATGGCGCTGTGGCTCAAGTGGTAGAGCACTAGCCATGAGCAAAAGAAGCTCAGAGACAGCGCCCAGGCCTTGAGTTCAAGCCCCAGGACTGGCAAAAAAAAGAGAGAGAGAGAGAGAGAGAGAGACAACCATGTGATAGAAACCCTACAGTGGCCAAACCCTAAAAAGAAGTGAAATAAAGGTGTAATTCATTATCAGTTTTGGTTTTGCCAGTGAGTAATGCTGTCTGTTGAAGTCAGAGACGGTGAATAGTGACATAAAAGTCAATTACAAGAAAGGCAGCACGATGCTGTAAATTCCCCAGAGCTGGCGGTGATAGCTACCCACATCGCCCTCTGCGCCCCACACTGCGCCAGGCCTTCTGGTGGGCTCTCCGGAGACCCTGACCCTGGCCACCTGCCCCTCAGCCTCGGCATCTGTCACCCCCACCTAATGCATGACGCCTCCGTTTGCACAGCTTCAATAGGGCAGAGCTGGGACCCCCCACCCCCACCCCGGCTGGCCCCCACCCCTGTCGGATTTAGGGGCGCTCGGCATCTGTGTGTGAGTCTAGACCTCGTTCCTCACGCTGCTCCTGCCCTCCTCCCCTCGCGGGCATGACTCCTTCCTGTCCCTTGCCCCGCTGTGCTGTGTGACCAGGGTCTGCCGGCTGAGTCAAGCCGCTTTACCGGCAGCATCAACACCTTCACAGCTCCGTGCACCCGGCAGGCGCGCCTCGCAGGAAGCCGCTCCCATGCGTCACTCGGCCGAGGACGCCGCCAGCCTGGAAATATGAGAGGCGGAAGGGGTCTGAGGCGCTCATTGTTGGAGCGCTGGCTGTTGGTGGAGGGCATTCCCAGCTCCGTCCCAGGGGCTGCTTCATTTCTTTTTAAGTGAGGCAGAACGCACCCTGCTTCCTTCTCCGGCCACGCCCCCTGCCCTGCCCCCATCCTCTTGAAGATACGGCTGCTGCTCCCCCCCCCCCCCCCCCCCGCGCCCCCGTTGCACAGAGCCCGGCCCCGTACGTAGGCATCCACTGGAGCAGGAAAGGAGCCTAGAGGGGAGTTTGCCCCTGAGACCTGGGTTGCTTCCACCACAGTTTCCTCAGACTTTGTTCATCAGTCTGGGGTTGCGTTCGAGGCTTCTGTTCTGTGGCTGAGTTGCGGCAGCACAGGAGAACAATGGGTGGACATACAGGGATTTTATTGGGCAGCTGTGCTGCCAATCAGGCTGGAGGGCTTGGCAGGGCATCTCACGTCACTGAAGTGGAGGTCGGCCCCGAGCCTCGTCTCCTGACCCACGTGGCCCCTGGCTCCCGAGAGCGGGGCTGTGTGCATGGGGCAGCGCAGGGCCCCCGCAGCGGAGCGCACCATACAAGCACCATTTATAGGACTTGGAGTCACTGCCACTGGAGCCATCACCCCCAGAGGTGCTTTTCTTAGGACTCCCCCTGTGACACTGGCTCTCCTGGCCCGGCTTAGATGGAACACAGGTGGCACTGAGCATTCACTCACCCACACTGGCCTCTGACCCTCTGAGCAGCCTCTTCAGAGGCTCCTCGTTCCTTCTTTGCCTCCCCCATCCAGCATGGCATGCCCAGCACCACAGCCCCTGGCTCCAGCAGCTCCCAGGCAGGACCCCTGACGCTGAGTGTGCAGGCTGCGTGGGATTGGATATCTGGGTCCAGTTGTGCCGTTCCAGAGGCTCTGTGTTAAGGCTTCATGCATTCTCCAAAACTTCTCAGCACTCCTTTGCTTCCCCTTCAAAGCCAGGCCCTGTCCTGGAAACAGCGGGCAGCAGTGCACTCTGGCCTCTAGCCTCTGCTCTGCCAGAGGCAGCTCCCGCCTTTGAGCCGTCAGGATCCTCACTAGGATTTCTGCAGTCAGCTGAGCCCCTGGCAGACCTGCCCCGCCTGTTTGCCTGCCCTGTGCAACCCTGAGCCTTGCACTGAGGGCTGTGGACAAGTGGGGAGCCTCTGGGGCGGAGGGCCTGTCGTGTGCCACTTGCATGCTTTCCTGGGAGCTCAGAACATTGCCAGTGTGTGGGGACCAGAGGAGCCCAGGAAGGCTCAGGGCACACGCTGATTGCACGAGGGCTGTGACAGAGCCCTGTACCCCACACACCTGGCATGCAGTGGGGGGGAGGGTGGCCCCTGGGAACCTTGTTATTGTTTGGGATAGAGTATGGATATAACTAGATAGAGATAGATAGATACTACTCTGGCTCATCAGTCTGGCATCTTCTGCCTCAGCCTCCTGATTGCTGAAGTGCTAGGTGTGCTGCACCCAGGACCAAGTGGTGCTCTCCAGCCAGCTACTGTGTACCAAATGCAAATCCTAACCTTTTCTAGTCAGTTTTCTTGTTAGAAATATCTAGCCTCAGACGATGAGACCTGTAAAACCAAGGCTGTCTGCTCCTAGCCTATTACAGGGTAATGAGCTGGGCAGCTTCCTGTGCAGCCCCAGCTTATTAACACACCCCTCCTCATCCCCAGCTTATTAGCACACCCTGCCTGATGCTGAGATCATAGTGGACCCCTCCTGATGCTGAGATCAGATCAGTGGTGCACCCCTGCTGATGCTGATGTTAGATGTCACAAAATAAAGCTACTCCGAAGCTGCCAACCCATGCTACTAAAATGTTTCTCTTTCTTAGGTGTTTCTTTCAATAGTGTCTACACTCAGATTTGGAGAGTCTTATTGCATCTGGCGGCTGATCCCTATCCAGATGTTTCTGATTTGGCCATGAAGGTGCTCAACAGCATCGCCTACAAGGTATGTGTTCCCAGCGGTGTCCCCTGGGGCCCTAGCATCTCTGGTTTTAAGTAGTGGATACTCAACAAGCTCTCGGCACATTAAAGGCTGCACACCATGGCTTTAAAAGTTCATGAATAAAATGGAGTTCCAACAGACATCGCTCATCTAGAGGTTCATAGTAGTGTCTGAGCTACATCTAGGTGTAGCATCTTCAGGGGCATTATTCTGTGTGGCCTTCCCCCTCCGCAGGGTCTGTAGTGATGTCATTGGCCCTGTTCTTGGCTCTTGTTCATGACAGTCTCACTGAAGGAGACTTGGGTTTGGTTTTGGTTTGGCTTTTTTCCTGCTGCTTTTCCATACTAATTTTTTTTTTCAAATTGTGAACTGTTTTGTTTCTTCTTCCACAATCATCTGTAAATTAAGGTGAAGGCTTAAAACCAACGATGGGGCAAGTAAATAATTAAAACTTTCTGATTTGTATAAGCATCACTCGGAAGATTTGCCTTTACAAGAACTTTCCAGAGGCTTTTTAAAATTTGAGTTCCATATGTTTCAGTTGCTTACATCAATACTTTCGGGCAGAATCAGCAGATGAGAGCATTGCTTTCAGGCTTTTCCTATTTTAGAAGACAGAGTAGGGGCTGGGAAGGTGGCTCAGTGGTAGAGTGCTTGCCATGCATGCATGAGGCCCTGGGTTCGATTCCTCAGCACCACATAAGCAGAAAAGGCCAGAAGTGGCTCAGTGGCTCAAATGGTAGAATGCTAGCCTTGAGCTGAATTGCTGAGGGACAGCGCCCAGGCCCAGAGCTCAGGCCCCATGACTGACAAAAAAAAAAAGTACATCCAAACCTGAATTCATATGTATGTATGTGCACGCACGTGTGTGTGCATGTGCACTTGTGCATACATACTGGCCATGGGTTTTGAACTTGGGACCGAGACATTGTCCTTGAGTTTCTTTTGCTCAGGACTAATGCTCTACCACACTGAGTTACAGCTCCACTTCTAGATTTTTTTTTTCTGGTAGTTTATTGAAGATCAGAGTCTCATGGACTTTCCTGCCCAGGCTGACTTCAAACCACAATCCTCAGGTCTCAGCCTTGTGAGTAGCATTACAAGCATCAGCCACCACTGCCAGCCAAATCTGAGTTCTTAATCTTGTCTCTAAATCTGTTCCTGCTGTTCGTGTCCATAGTCACTCCTGTCATTGGTATCTTCTCCGTTACCATCGTCCCACTATACCCCATTACACCTTCCCAAGTCCTATTGGCTGTGCCTTCAGAATACAATTCAGGTGTATCTGGTTCTCTTGCCATGACTACCATCCCCAGTGAGCCACCTTCTCTCTCCACCCCTGCAGCAAAAGCCTCTTGTTTGGTCTTACCATTTCCTCTTTCCTCCCAATGATCTAAAGTGATCCCGCCACACCATCCGTCACCCGGTTGATCGGCAGTGTTGATTCGGCTGATGTGGCTGGCTAGGCCCTTCCTCCCTCCAGCTCCATGTGAGTCCCTCCCGAAGCCATGTGCTGGGTCAGAGAGGTTACCACCCCTGTAGAGGAGGACCGGTCTTCGGTCAAAGGTATACGGGTGGCTGCACTCCTGCTAGAACCTGCAAGCAGGCGTCACAGTGTTTTTACTGGTGGTCACTCTTACTTTCTGGCTCCCTTCTGTTCCGCGTGGGGCTTCTGAACGCAGGGCCGCCCACTTGCTTAGTTTGCTGGCTGTGCTGGCTCTCGACTTGAACTTTAGTCCTTCTTGAGCCATACCTTCAGTCTATCGCCCTTTTTCATTTTATTGCATGTATGTATATATTTTTGCATATTATATTTTTTATTTTATATATATACATGTGTATATATATTTCATTTCACTTTATATACTTTTTTTTTTTCTGATCCTGGGGCTTGCGCTCAGCCTGGGCACTGTCTCTGAGCCTCTTTATGTTCAAGGCTAGTGCTCTACCACTTGAGCCACAGCACTATTTCTAGCTTTTTTAATTTGGTGAGTAATTTTTTTTTTGGGGGGTCCCATCGTGGGGCCTGAACTCTGGGCCTGGGCGCTGTCCCTCAGCTCTTCAGCTCAAAGCTAGCGCTCTACCATTTGAACCACAACACCACTTCCGGCTTTTTTCTTTTTGCTTATGTGGTGCTGAGGAGTCGAACCCAGGGCCTCAGGCATGCAAGGCAAGTGCTCTACCACTGAGCCAACTTCCCAGCCCTTGTTAAGTAATTTTTTGGAGATAAGAGTCTTACAGACTTGCCTGCCAAGGCTGGCTTCAAACTGCAGTCCTCAGATCTCAGTTTCCTAGGTAGCTAGGATTACAGGCATGAGCCACTGGCAACCAGCTATTTATTTTTTGAACTAGCTTTAAGTACTTGTTCAAAGAAGGTGCCATATAACAAAGCAGTTTATGAATAGGTCTTTGTTGTTGTTGGTGGTGGTGGTGGTGGTTGTGGGCCTTGAACTCTGGGCCTAGGTGCTATCCCTCAGCTCTTCAGCTCAAGGCTAACCCCCTACCACTTGAGCCACAGCACCACTTCCAGTTTTCTGGTGGCTTATTGGAGATAAGAGTCTCATGGACTTTTCTGCCCAGGCTGGCTTTGAACCGCGATCCTCAGATCTCAGTCCCCTGAGTAGCTAGGATTAGAGGCGTGAGCCACCGGCGCCCGGCTGCACAATATGTCTTGATCAGTGTCACCCCTTCAGTGTTTTTACCCCTTCCCTTGTCTTTCTTAATTTTATGGTAGATACAGTGAGTTCTTCCTCCCTGTATCCGTCTTCCCCTTTCCCCTTGGCCCGAGTCCTGTTTCCTGGGGTTGATTTTACTGGGCTTTGACTTAGTCTATCTAGAAGATTATAGCGTTTGAGCTCTCCATAGAGGCTGCTGTGCTTCATTTAACTCATTTCACTTGACATGCCACTTGCGTAGTCACTTAAAGATTAATAGGTACATTCTAGCTGCCACAAATGAGGGGAACCAGGGACCTTTGTTTTTCTAGGTCTAGCTTGCTTCACTTAGTTTAATTTTTTCCCAGCCTTTCCATTTCCGTACAAATGGTATAATCTTTTTAAAAGATGAATAAAATTCCAATGTGTATATATACCACATTTTCCATTCCTCCATTATGGCATCTGGACCGATTCTAATTAATTAAGGTACAAATGCAGGCCATTAATTTTAGTCCTGTGTTCTTCGAAGATTATAAACCAGCTTCCCCCATCCTCTTTTTTTGTGCCGGTCCTGCAGCTTGAACTCGGGCTGGGGCTCTGTCCATGAACTTTTATACTCAAGTCCAGGCTCTACCACTTCCAAGTTTGGGGTGGTTCTTTGGAGATACGAGTCTCATGGACCTTACCTGGCTGGCTTTGAACTGCAATCCTCAGGTCTCAGCCTCCTGTCTAGCTAGGATTATAGGTGTGAGCCACTGGCAACCAGTTCCCAGTGTTCTTGTTAAGTTCTAGAATTTTCCCCTCAGTTTTCTTTTCCTACCTGTGGATTGTCACTCTGGTGAACAGACTGTCATTCAGATTTCAGGGCCCCTTCCTGGTGGAGTAGTCCTCCCCCCGGTCCACACCCCACACACACCAACTGCCCCGCCTCCCTGGGGCCCAACGCTGTGCACTCTTTCCCTGAGTGCTGCCTCCCTCCTCCCATCTCCCCCCCCCACCCTGGTCCTCCCATCTCCCCTCCCCCCCCCCCCAGCCCTGGGTTTCCCGGGCACTGGCTGAAATCCGCTGGCAGGCCACAAGCTGGGATCATTGTTCCCTTACACAGGCCCATCCAGCGTCTGAAACAGGCATCTCCTGTGCTTGGTTTGTCTTTCTGGTTTTCCTTTTTTTGTTTTTTTTTTGTTTTTTGTTTTTTGTTTTTTGGGGGGGGGGGTCTGGTCGTGGTGCTTGAACTCTGGGCCTGGGCGCTGTCCCTCAGCTCTTCAGCTCAAGGCTAGTGCTCTACCACTTGAGCCACAGTGCCACTTCTGGCTTTTTTCTTTTTGCTTATGTGGTGCTGAGGAATCGAACCCAGGGCCTCATGCATGCAAGGCAAGTGCTCTACCACTGAGCCACCTTCCCAACCCCATCTTTCTGGTTTTCTTACGTGTGGAACTAGACATCATTCCTTATCAGAATCGTAACGGCTTGATAGAAGTTCAAGCATGCAGGAGGTACGCAGGGGAAACTGCTCCTGGTGCTCCCTCACACTCCTCTGAACCATCACATCGGCCACGTCCCCAGGGCCACTCAGTCCAGGAGGCGGGAGCTCCCGCCCTCCGGTGTCTGTTCTATCCCTACCCCATAACAGTAACAGTTTTAAAATGCTACGGCATTCCATCTCCCCTTTCTCGTTAAAGCAGCAATAATACTAGTAACTTCCAAGTATTTTAAACTCAAGAGATGTGGCCACATAAATGGTCTTCGGTCGCAGGTAGATGTGGTGTCCGCCAGTGCTGACCTGGCCAGTAGAACTTACGCTGGCCCTCTTGGGACAAGCCAGACTCTTGGGGCTGCCCATCCCCCACTTGCGTGGCCATCCTCTGAGGCGCTACAGTGGCACTTGGGAGACACAGCCTCGGGTGGGCGTCCAGGCGGTCTGCTGTCAGGTGACCCCAGCCTATGGAAAAAGGCTGCTCAGCCAGGTTCACATTTGCACTGCTTAATGAAAATGAACAAGTGACCCAAATTATCTGCGTTTTCAACTAAGAACCGTTGGAAAGAATAGGATTGACTTAAACAGAAAATGATTTTTATTTATTTTTATTTATTTTTATTTTTTATTGTAAAGATACTATACAGAGGGTTACAGCTACATGAGCAAGGTAATGAGTACACTTCCTATTGAGCATTGTTACCCCTCCATTGTTTTCCCCCTACCTTCCCCGAGGTTCTTTTTTTTTTTTTAAATTGTGATTAAGTGATTACATAATTTCCCAAATTTCAGAGTATTGTGGAATAATGATGCTCATTTAAAGTCACAAGCTCATTCTAACTTTCCTGGAGCAAATTGTCTATCACAGTCTATAACATATAACGGTGTACATATATGCACCATACATGTGATCAGCAGCATGGGGATATTTAGTAGTGGTTCGACCAGATGAGTGGGAGTTCTTTGTTTCTTAAGTCCTATTAATTTTGTCGTATCACCTAACATTTTGGATTTAGCATCCACTTATCAGGGAGACCGTGTACCGTTTGTCTCTTTGCTCTTGGCTTACCTCCCTCAACATGATTCCTTCTAGCTCCATCCATTTCCCTGTAAATGCCATTATTTTGTCATTTCTAATGGCTGCATAATATTCCATTGTGTATAGATACCACAATTTTTGGATCCATTCATCTGTGGTGGGGCACCTAGGTTGTTTCCATATCCTAGCTATTGTGAACAGTGCTGCAATAAACATGGAGGTGCACGTGTCCTTCTATATTGGTTCCTGTTGTTCAGGGTAGATGCCTAGAAGTGGTATGACTGGGTCGTAAGGGAGGTCAATCTTTAGCTTTCTAAGGACCCTCCAGACTGCTTTCCAAAGTGGTTGTATAAGTGTACATTCCCACCAGTAGTGTAATAGGGTTCCTCTTTCTCCACATCCCCTCCAGCATTTGTTGTCGGCTGTTTGTGGATGTGGGACACTCTGACTGGGGTAAGGTGGTATCTCAGGGTTGTCTTTATTTGCATTTCCTTCACCACCAGGGATGATGAACATTTCCTCATGTGTTTCTTTGCCATTTTTATTTCTTCATCTGAGAAGTCCCTCTTTAGTTCCCTTGCCCATTTAGTAATTGGTTTGTTAGGTTTGGGAGGGATTAGTTTCTTGAGTTCCCTGTATATACAGGATGTTAACCCCTTGTCTGATATACTGCTGGTAAATACTTTTTCCAAATTAGTTGGTTGTCAGAAAATGATTTTTTATTATATTTTAATTTCCTATTTGGAGCAAGCCTGTCATTAGCACGCCTGTCATTCCAGTGCTCAGAAGGCTGAGGCAGGAGAGTTGTGAGTTCAAGGACAACCCAGGCAGCGTAGCAAGATCTCGAAGTAAGAGCCACAACAAAGGAAGCCTTGCCACTGATACCCAGCCTGCCTTGCCTTTAGCCCCCCGGCTGGTCCCCGAGTGCCGGCATGAACGCAGGAGGAGGCAGAAGCCTTGCCTCTCGCCCCCCCCCCCCCTCCCCCCCGGCTGTCCCCTAGTGCCGGCATGAACTCTGGAGGAAGCGGATTTGCTCTGGCTTGTGGTTTCAGAGGTTTCCATCATGGCAGCCAGGAAACGGATTCTGTGCTAGTGGCTTCTCCCTTCTTCCTCTCCTGCTCCCTCTGAGCCCCAGCCTGTCCGATGGTGCTGCCCGTGCTCAGGTCCCCTCGGGTGTGCTTGCCTAATGGCTGAGGTATCAGTCATAGACCGAAGCCCTGAGTTCAGGCTCCAGTGTCACCAAAAATCAGATTAATCATCATACCCACATGTTTCTTCTAAAACCATATTAAGCAGGCACTAGTGGCTCACGCCTATAATCCTGGCTACTCGGGAGGCTGAGATCGGAGGATTGTGGTTCAGAGCCAGCCCAGACAGGAAAGTCTTTGAACTCTTATCTCCAGTAAACCACTAGAAAATTGGAAATGGTGCTGTGGCTCAAGTGATACAATGCTAGCCTTGAGCTGAAGAGCTCAGGGACAGTGCCCAGGCCCAGAGTTCAAGCCCCACAACAATTAAAAAAAAAAAAAAAAGTCACATGAATCCATAGCATTGGGAGCAAATGAACAGCACCATGTCTGAAGCGCCTGGCGTTGAGGGCTCGGGTGGTTTTCCACCCAGCCTCTGTGATTCCTTCCTGGTGCTTTTCTCTGCATTGGGTCAGGCTTGCTGTGTGCTCTTGCGGTTCTGGTTGGAGCCTGGAGGCAGAAGTGGGCCCTGCCACGCCGCTCCTCACCCTCCTCACCCAGCTTTAGCGTCACATTGAGCCTGCGGTCCGGCTTTTGACCGAGTTCACTTTGCCACCCTGAAGAGCTGGCATGGTGCCGCGGCTTCGCCCTCACTGCTGCCCGGTTCTGCGTGCAGCCGTGGGTGTACCTCGGGGTTGGGTGTTCCGGGCAGGCTGCTGCCGGTGGGGAAGGGCTCGTCCACAAACCAGCCCCAATCCGGTGGCCCTGTGGGGGTGGGGGGGGTTGTCAGATTTGCCTGTCTGGGTGCTCCCACATGACAGGGCCTGTGCCAGGAGAGACTGTCCCCAAGCTCTGACCCCTGCCTACATGTCATCTGTCCTCCCGGTCCCCCCTGACGGGGGCTCTGTTTACATCTGCGGATGACCCAAACCTGGATGAGCCAGGCCCGAGGGCATCGGTGCCCCTAAAAACGTCCCCCGCCCCAGGCAGGTCACACCTGCGGCGTCTGAACGGGACAGGAGGAGCGGCACAGCCCGGTGCCTGTGGCACAGCCCGGTGTGTGGGCACGCGGCCCCCAGGCTGTCAGCCGCAGGCCAAGGCAGGCGCCGAGGCCCACGCTGCTTTCCCCAGAGGCGCCCGCCGGGAGCCGGGAGGCCGCGCTGGTGCAGGAGAGGGGGTGGGATTCGTGGAAGTTCCCGTTCCAGCCCGGAAAGCCCTCTGTCTTCCCCATCACCACCCACTGCCTCCAGAAATTTTGAGAAAGCATGTGTTAAACTTCGCCTAAGTTTAAATCCTTCTCTCTTTTAGACTGAAGGAATCACTGGGCTGTCAGATTATGCTGGTAGAATTGGCTGCATGATTTAAATATCAAAGCAAAATCTAGTTCACCAAGAATGTGTATTACTCTTGTAATCAGAATATGAGCATCTGCCGGGCATGGGTGCGTATCTGGGAGAGCTGGGAGGGGCGAGGTAGAGGATTCCAGTCGGAGGTCAGCTCAGGCCAAGTGACAAGACCGGAGGGCACAAGAGAAGGATTCACAGCCCTGGGAGGCTGGCGTTTTAAAGGCCAGGGTCTGGTGGGAAGCATTGCCTCTGGTCGTTGGGTCTCTCTGGCTTCTGTCTGCCACGCTTGTGGGGACAGCGTTCCTCATGGTAAAGCGAAGTTTAGAAACACGAGACCAGAGGGGCCTCGATGCAGAGCCTTCCGGGCCAGACACCGCCTGTCTTCTACATCTGCTGTTCTTCTAGAAGGCTCTCAGAGACCATCCATGGCAGAGGGGTCATTTCCACTAAAAAGCCTCTGGCCCCCTCCTGACCCAGGGCTCTGGTCAGCCCCAGCAGGTGCTCCCCGAGCCCGCGGCCTCATTGCAAAGGCTCACCGATCCCACCAGCCACATCCTCCAGCCTCACCTCCTTGGCTCACAAGGGCTGCCAAGGGCCAGACCTCAAACACTCCCGGGTTCCCGCCTCTCCATCCCCCAGCAGACAGCTCCATTCCAGATCTGCACGGAATCCTGTTAAAACCCCAGATAAAGCCCGTGCCCTCTGGAACGCCGTGTCCAGCCAGCGTGGAACCGGCCACGCACGACTCTGGGAGGCCATGCACAGCCCTGGCCTCCCCGTCCACAGCAGGTGCTCTATACCTGGACTGCGCCCACAAGGCTGAGCGGGCATTCCCCCCCAAGTCGCAGCCCCGGGCCTTTGGATGCAAGGCCAGGCCCACCTTCCCCACCCCGAGCCCCCACAATTTTCACGAGCCCCTTGGGGGGCTCACAGCATAGGAGCAGCACAGTGGTGGCAGCCCCAAGGCCGCCCCAGGGGCCACCTGGCCAGCCACTGTCTGTCCTGACCCTTGGTCCCACTCCGGGCCTCTGGCTGCCTCCCTGGGGCCCCACCCAGCCCCGCTGTGAAAGGCTGAGCTCCTCTCGGCCCTGTGCAGCCGCACACGAAGCTGAGGCATCAGGCCAGGGGCAGAGTGGGCAGGGAGGCGGGCCTGGCCCTGGGGAGGCCCGTCAAGGGAAGGGGTCAGATTGGCCTCCTGCTGTTGTACACGCAGCACCGGTCTTGTGCCCTGTCCTGGCTTTGCTGGTTCTGGAGAGCAGTTTCTAGAAGGATGAATGAATGCCTCATTGCCGGCGCTGTCTTGCCTGCGGCCTCGTTGGCTGCCATTGGGAAGCAATGGAGAAGCAGCCCCCGGCCTCCCCTGGGCCTCTCCGGGGCATCGCCCCAGCTTCCCGCCTCACTTGCTCTTTGCTTCCAGGCCACGATGAACGCCCGGCCGCAGCGCATCCTGGACACCTCCTCGCTCACGCAGTCGGCCCCCGCCAGCCCGACCAACAAGGGCATGAACATCCACCAGGCCGGGTGAGTGGGGGCTGGGCCCTACCCGCAGCCCCTCCCCTTCCGGTGCTCCCGCCCCTGGCTGCCTTGCTTTCCCTCCCAGCCCTCCATCAGGGCGGTCGGAGCACCAGGATTCCGCCCTATCTCAGGAGCCCCTCCACGTGCCCAGGGCGATGCAAAGCTGAGCTCAGCCAGGTTTCCCAGGGCTTCCGGGGGGTTTGTCCAGAGAACCTGGGTTCCGCACATGGTGCCCGCAGGGTGGGCTGCACCTGCTCACATCAGCACCAGTCCTCGGCAAGCAGCGTGGGTGGGCCTGAGCACCGGGCACAGGGGCCTCTGCCAGCCGGGGCCAGCCAGGGTGACGGGCCTCCCTTGGTCAGCTGCTGGCATTGGGAAGTCAGGCAGCGGAGGACACCTCACTCCTAGCAGGGAGGGCCTTGGGTCTCATCTTCATGTGGCGACGCTCAGTAGCGTTCTCTCCTCCTGACGACAGCGGCTCCCCGCCTGCCTCCAGCACCAGCAGCTGCAGCCTGACCAACGACGTGGCCAAGCAGCCCGTCAGCCGAGACCTGCCCTCCGGCCGCGCCGGCCCCTCGGGCCCCGCGGGCGCACAGTACACGCCCCACTCCCACCAGTTCCCCCGCACACGGAAGATGTTCGACAAGGGCCCGGATCAGGTACGGAGAGAAGGCAGCTGTTGGTTTTGCGTGGCTGCTTATGCTCACTGGTGTGCCGCCTGGGTGCCGAAGCCCGGGGTTTGGGGCGTGGTGCCCCGCGCCCACCCTGCCCGGGACACGCAGCAGCAGCCTGGCTCGGCACCGTCCGCAGAGCCCGGCAGTGCTGGCACGCAGGGCGTCTCAGCCACAGACTTCCTGCTCCGCTCGTCTCGGCGACGCTGCCAAGCAAAATACGCACGCGGAGTTAATTTGCGTCTTCCCTTCTTGGGTAAATAGCATTTTGCCTCCGCTTGATATGGCAGCTGCTCTACAATGTTTATTCTGAATGGGTTGTTTGGTGTTTCCGTAAACATTCAATTAGTCGACACAGATCGGCACACACAGCTTATACAACGTTGCCTTTAAGTTGAGAAGGGAATCTCAGGGAGGAAAAGTGTCTCGCTAGTCACGTTAAGAGCTGTCTGGCCTGGGCCAGCTGCTTTGTCACTCCCAGACACGAGGTCTGAACAAGGTCATCAGGACCTGCAGGGGTGCCCAGTGATTCTCCGGCCAGTGGAGAGGCACGGCTCGCCGGTGAACGAAGAGTGATGCCACATTGCAGATGGAGTCAAGGAACAGGCTCGCCAAGTTGGTGACAGCATCACGTGACAGCGGCAGGTCTCCATGTCCGCTGGCCAGCCTCAGCCAGAGCCCCGCATGCATCGGTGCCCTACCTGAGCCCTGAGTCAGGGCCAGGGGCAGGGGTGAGGCAGGAGCCACAGTTTGGGAGCACACGGCTGGCAACAGATAGCTGCCCCCCTGTCCCCTCACCCCCGCCAGAGTCCCACAGGGAGCCTGAGCTGCTGCCCCAAGGCGAGAGATGAGCCCACCACCCGCCGGGTCCCCCTGCCAAGATGCAGAGAGGGACTGCTCCCAGACACCTACTGCCCACAGTAGGGAAGAGCCAGGGGAATGCCTGAGCAAAGCGCTCTCACGCTGCAGCTGCCTGCGCGGCCGCCCGAGGAGCAGCTGTGCTGGGCGGCGGGGCCATGGTCTCGAGCAGAGCATGTAGCGGCGTCCCTCACATGTGCCCGCATAACCTGCCACCGGTGCCTCACCCCTGTGCTGCGGGCACGGGGAGCAGACATGAGGCTGCTCGCTTGCTCCCTAGGATCAAAACCTCACGGTGTCCGTGAGCGACGTGAAAATAGTGTTTCTAGCCCAGTAAAAAATAGAACAGGGCTGGGCGCAGTGTGTCACACCTGTAATCTCAACACTTAGGAAGCTAAGATAGGAGCTCACAAGTTCAGGGCCAGCCTGGGTTACATAGTAGACCCTGTGTCAAAAACACAGGAAACAGAAAAAAAGGAGCAAATCTGTTTCCTTCTACCCTCCTTTCCGAATGCCCAAAGACGGCAGAGGACGCTGACGAGGCTGCCGGACACAAAAGCTTCATCTGCGCCACCATGCAGACTGGCTTCTGCGACTGGAGCTCCCGGTACTTCGCCCAGCCTGTCATGAAGGTGCGTCCTGCGTCCGGGGCTGCGGGGGAGCCGGGGGGGGCACTCCCTTGGTGCTGTGGGGGAGCCGTGGGGGGGGGGCACTCCCTTGGTGCTGTGGGGGGGGGGCACTCCCTTGGTGCTGCGGGGGAGCCGTGAGGGGGGGGCACTCCCTTGGTGCTGCGGGGGGGGGCATTCCCTTGGTGCTGTGGGGGAGCCGTGGGGGGCACTCCCTTGGTGCTGCGGGGGGGGCACTCCCTTGGTGCTGCGGGGGGGGGGGCACTCCCTTGGTGCTGCGGGGGAGCCGTGGGGGGGCACTCCCTTGGTGCTGCGGGGGAGCCGTGGGGGGGGGCACTCCCTTGGTGCTGCGGGGGAGCCGTGGGGGGGCACTCCCTTGGTGCTGCGGGGGAGCCGTGGGGGAGGGGGCATTCCCTTGGTGCCAGCACCGAGGCCTGGAGCCTCGCTCCCGCCCCCTCCTCCCTCGTGTGCCCCGACCGCTCGGCCTCGCGCTTGCCTCCTCTTCCTCCCTCCCGGCGAGCCTCTGTCCTCTTCCTCACGGAGCCCCACTAGACCAGCTGGGAGCGGGGAGGCGAGCAGCGTGCCCTCCGCTGCGCCGCACAGGCTCAGCCTCTGCCTTCCTGTCACACACTGGCGACATGGATGGTGACCCAGATGCTGTTTTGGGGACAGACAGACAGCCACAGGGGCAGGCTTCCTCTCCCTTCTCCTTTTTTTTTTTGGTCGGTTGTGGGGCTTGAACTTAGGGCCTGAGCGCTGTCCCTCAGCTCTTCAGCTCAAAGCTAGTGCTCTACCACTTGAGCCACAGCGCCACTTCTGGTTTTCTGGTGCTTTTTATTGGAGGTAAGAGTCTCATGGACTTTCCTGCCCAGGCTGGCTTTGAACCTCGATCCTTGGACCTCAGCCTCCTGAGTAGTTAGGATTATAGGTGTGAGCCACCAGCACCTGGCTTTCCCTTACCTTCTTGTGGCACTATATCTAATTCCCTGGCAGGAGAGTGCCAGGCTGGCCCTTACCCTGCTTGCTGATGTGGAAGACACATTGGATTAGCTCTGCAAGACGGTCTTCCCCCCCCGAGACAGGTACTGGGTGGAGGCTTGCAGCCCAGGGACTGCCTCTGAGACTCTACATTACTTTCAGTAGTGGGGATTGGGGTCTACAAGTGTCTGTCCGATTCGGAATGGTTAGAACACTATGAAGTGTTTGGGGAGATCATATTGGAGCTGTTCAACAGTTCTTTAAAATAGCGGCAGCCAGGCATGGTTGTGCATGCCTGAAATCCCAGTTCTCAGGAGGTTGAGGCTGGAGTATCACAAGCTCTCAAGGCCTTCTTGGGCTAGATAGTGTAACCTTGTCTCGAAATAAGATAAAAACTCATGGCAAACTAGAAACACTCGTGACAAAATACTGTAAAACAGGGCCAACACTCACACTTACAAAACAATTGCAGGTATGTGTACGATGCACAGAATACCAGACGCTTATGAAAAAGGCCCCAAGGGGACACCTTAGTCACAGAGCACAAACCATGTGATCAGGACGGCACATCCCTGTCTTCTACCATTTCTATCCTGTACTACTTATACAATTATGCAAGTCACCATGGAGGGCTGTATCATCCGGTACTGATTGGAAGGGTTGGGCGCAGTGGCAGTACCCGTCAGCACAGCGCTCAGGAAGTGGAAGCAGCAGGATAGCCAGCCAAGGCAGGTCCTGGCATTCACGCTGGAGTCTGGTTCACGTGGTACAGCACGTGAACTAACAAAAACTAACAGCTGCAGAGATGACCTGACCCAGGTGTGGAGCTCAGGCTAGGTCCGCAAGCACCAGATCCAGGAGCCATGGGCCTCCCCTGAGCCGCCGCCTCCTGGTAGCCTCCAGCATGCCCTCCCCACGCAGAGGGAAGAAGGCCCTTTTCCACTCACCCAGCCCTTGTGGTTTAGATAGAAAAGAACACAGATGCTCACACAGCAAACAAGCTTCTCAGACAATCAGCAAGCTCTGGGAAGCTTTCCCAGGTGGACCTGGGAAAGGGGCAGAGTTGTCCTTTAGGACCCTCTGTGGTCTCTGGAAGTCAAATGGAGTTTCGAAGGTCATGCGGGTGGGAGCCTGGCAGCCCACATTCCTCTCCCACTGTCGGGCCAGGGGCTGACCAGGAAGCTGCTTCCTGAGACGCTAGTGAGCAGCGTCTCCTGAAGTCCGTGAAAGTGGCCTGCTGCCCGCCATCCGCCTGGATGAAAGGGAGGAGGGGCAGGGATGGGGCAGAGCACAGCATTGGGTTCTTTTAGACCAGGTTGAGCCTGATGCTTTCCTTCCCAGGGGTTCGAGTGAGCAATTCTCCCTCGGGCGTACAGAAGTGGGTGACGGGAGGAAGTTTCCAGAGAGCTGTGGCACCCAGCAGGGCCTGAACTTACTGGGAATGCTCCACCCGGTGGGCATGGGTGCTTGCCCTGCACAGAGCCAAAGCAGGGTGTGCTGCTGGCCGGTGCCACACCTGCCTCTCCTTGGGTCTGTGCCCGTCACCTCCCTCTCCTGGGGTCTGTGCCCGTCACCTCCCTCTCCTGGGGTCTGTGCCCGTCACCTCCCTCTCCTGGGGTCTGTGCCCGTCACCTGCCTCTCCTGGGGTCTGTGCCCGTTCACCTGCCTCTGTCTTCCTCCCAAGTGTATCTGAGGGTGCGTTCCCACAGAGGAGGCCTGGACACACACCTGCCAGCAGTGTCCTATAGCGCTGCCTGGTACCCGCAGGGCTGGTGAGTAGAGCGTGGGAAACACTCTTACGGGTAGCAGTCTGAAGCAGTTGTGCTTACAGGAGGTGCCTGTGAGCACAGCCTTATGACCTAGAGATCCAAGTGATTTTGCTTTTACATAAGTAGAAAAGTTTTCTAAACTTTATTTTGTTTCATTTTTTGGCAGTCAGGTGGCTTGAACTCAGAGCCCAGGCACTGTCCCTGAGTTCTTAGGCTAGTCCTCTACCACTTTGAGTCACAGTACCACTTCCAGCTTTGTTTGTTTTTGATCGGTTATAGGGCCTGAACTCCAGGCCTGGACCCTGTCCCTGAGCTCTTCAGCTCAAGGCAAGCGCTCTACCACTTCAGCCACAGTATCACTTCCAGTTTTCTGGTGGTTTATTGGAGATAAGAGTCTCACAGGGACTTTTCTGCCTACGCTGGCTTCGAACCATGATCCTTAGATCTCACCCTCCTGAATAGCTAGGATTATAGGCATGAGCCACTTGCCCCTGGCTTTTCTAAACTTTAAAAGAGGTAGCAGGGTGTTTTATCTTATTTTTTTCCCTACCTTTTCAGGGTGTCTGCATATGGGTATTCTTTTTATTCTTTTTGTTCTTTTTTTTTTTTTAATCATCTAATTGTGTGTAATGAAAATGCATGAGGACTTTTTTTACTTTCCTGTTTCACAGGTAAACTAAAAATACTACTAAGGCTAAGCTGGGGCCTCAAAGAGTGAACAACACCAGTTCTAAACTGTTTCAAGTGCGCATACGGAAATAAAATATAACTTAGACAGTAACATGAGACCTAGGGTGACCATAGTATGTACCCACGGCCAGGGTTGGTTGGTGGGAATTGGGCCCCACAGCTGTGATTGGTGAGTGGGATTGAGTCCCTAGAGCGGTGATTTGTAGCTTTTATTTTCTTCAACTCATATTTCAGTGTCATGGATCTGTAAGATCCAAGAGGGCCATGTTCTGTATATGTTACCTTCAGATAATAACCCAACATTCTTCTCCATGTGGTTTACATAGCTCACGTCTGCTATTTTAAAACAGTACGTGCTTAGAGAGACTTACTGGATAGCCTTTCTTATTAAAGGAACTAGAACTGTCCATACAAAGGTTCTATAGTTGAAAACTTTTCCACAAAGAACCCTCCCACCTGATTTGTTTAGCTGTGTTACATTTTTTTTGTTTTTTTGTTTTTTTTGGTGTTTTGGTTTTTGGGGGGGATCGGTTGTGGTCCTGAATTCTGGGCCTGGGCGCTGTCCCTCAGCTCTTCAGCTCAAGGCTAGCGCTCTACCACTCGAGCCACAGCACCACTTCCGGCTTTTTTTTCTGCTTATGTGGTGCTGAGGAATCGAACACAGGGCCTCATGCATGCAAGGCAAGCACTCTACCACTGAGCCATCTTCCCAGCCCTGTGTTACAGTTTAATAGGGCTTATCCCTCGGGCCCCAGCTAGTGAGGCTAACTTGGGAGGTAATGGAGCTGTGGGGGCTGGGACCTGGCTGGAGGAAGTAAGGCCTAGGTTTGTGCCCTGGAAAGATACACCTTGTCCCTGACCCTTTCTGTCACTCTGTGCCCACCGAGAGCATGGCCAGCGTCACGCTTTCTTCCTTTCACGTTGTTGTGTCAGATGCTTTGTCACAGTTGTAAGTCTGGCCAGCACAGCTGGCGATTCCATCAGACCTTAGCGGTGCTATCAGCTCCACGCAGAAAATAGAAGCAGAGACTTCCCAGTGTGTGTAAAGGCCAAAACCGGAATGAGAGACATTACAGCAATTAAAACCTACAGGCTGACCTTAGTGGTTCATACCTGTAATCTCAGTTACATGCCAGGCCCAGAGAAGAGGGATCAAAGTTTGAGGCCATCCTGGGCAAAACATTGGCATGATCCTATCTCAATCAATGAGGGGTATGGTGGCCTACGCCTGTAATCCCAGCTGTGTGGGAGGGGCAGGTCCAAGGCCCGCACGAGGCAGAATCCTCAGGTGCGTGCTCTGACCTGCCCCCATGGCCCCCAGCACTGACCAGCTTCCTTCCCTCAGCTCTAAGTGTTCTCCTGTGAGTGTAAATCGCCTGAGCTGCTCCAGCTGACCGCCCCTCTGTGGTCCTCGGCCCCCAGCAGCCGGGTGGCTCCGATGCTTCCTCCGAGACGCTGGAGAGGCGCCTCGGCCGGGTGGACCGAGGGTGGAGCGGCACACACGCGTCCTCGCGGTCTGCCTCGGTGCCGGGTGCTGAGCGCGCCTGCCGGCAGCCTTCCATGGGCTTCCGCGGGCTCCTCGCCCGTGCCTTCGCCCAAACCTTTTTCCTCTTTGATGGTCCTCTTCCTGGTAGGCTCGTGTCCCAGGCACCTGGATCCACGAGATTCTCAAGAAGACCCAACCCCTTCCAAGCCCCATTTGTGTCCGTCGCCCCGCCGCTGCTCCCACAGCCCCCTGGGGTTCCTCACTCCCTTGTTCCGCAGCCCCTCGCGTCTCTGTAACCGGGAGGGAGCAGAGCTTCATTGCTGTTCAGCTGCCTTGCCTCTGGGAGGCCTGGGGACTGTAATTGGTTTCTGTCTGAGAGAAGCCCAGAGGTGTGGAAACCCGGCGTGTCATGATCCTGAGCACGGGACACCACGATGCCGCCGCAGCTCTCCAGGGGCTCCGCACAGAGCGCGCCGCGCGGGCCTGGCCACTTGTTTACCAAAAAAGCGTGTATTCAACCCAGAGAGGCGGCAGGGAGGACGAGAAGATGGGTGGCTAGAGGAAACGGTTACTGGGCATTTCACGTGGCCGTGCCTCGAGCCCCCTCCTCCTGCTCCATCCACCCCGCCCCCTCCGCCTCCCCCTGCCCCGTCCCCTCTCCTTCCCGGCCAGCCTGGCGGTCGCAGCCGGCTGGCTATCCCCAGGACGGGTACACTCGGGATGGGGTGCTGCTTTGGGGTTCCGGGGCCAGGCTGTCTAGAGTGCAACAGGGCCTGAAGGAGAGGCTTGCTTCAGAGCTGGGCACGGGACCGCATGGCTCCCGGGGCAGCATCCTGGGCCCGTGGGCTCTAGCCACGGAGCAGGTGCCGGACTGTCTGACGCCTGCCAGCGTCCTGTGCCCGCGCTCCCGCGCCTTCCCACTGGGGCTGGCTGTCACGGTAGTCCTTGGAGCCCATGCTTCCCCAGGTCCACCCCCACCTCCGGAGCAGCGGCTCCACCCCGGCCGCGCCCCATGCTGCTGGTAGAAGACCCTGAGTTCCAGCCGCACCCCTCCCACTTCCTTCCTGCTCTGGTCCACCCCTGAGAGACCAGGATTTGTGAAAGCACAGGATCCCTTCTTGCTCAGGCCTTGGGCCTGGAACTATTGCGCTACATCAGTGGCCATTTGTCATTTCCTTTCTAATGAGCTTTGGACTGTCAGAAAGCGCAGCCGTTGTCATGAATCCGAGTCGGTTCCATTTGCCATCGTGGGGCTGTTTCTAAGCCAGCACATACCCGGAGGGAGGCGTTCGACACCTCTTCCCATTGTGTTGGGCTCGGGTGTTCTCTCTGAGCTGTTGTTGATTTTTTTGTCGCATGTGCCTGCAATTTATAAGAAGGAAAAGAAAGATGTGCAGCAATAAGATGGCAGGGAACGAGGGCGGCCATCTGCAGGAGCTGTGCGGCTGCTGCCAGGAACAAGGCGCAGGGCGCCCAGGCGCAGGGACCTGTGCGCATGCCAGGCCTCTCCTTCCCCAGCCACACGCACACAGAGGCCTGGGGCTGGCCGCCCACCCGGCACTCCATCCCGAGTGCCTGCTCTGCCAGAGGATGACAAGCACAGGCAGCCTCTGGCCTTTGCATTTGTGATCCACGCTCGCCCCAAGGCCGGTCACGGAAGCTGCTCTGTCTGCACTAACAACGATGAGGAAGTAGCGTTTTATCTTATTTAACTTCTTCTATATTTCAGGAGTCAGCCAAATTTACCCACTAGAAATGTCCTGGGGTTTGAGGCATGGCTCAGTTGGTAGAGCACTAACCAAAGTGCAAAAAGCACCAGGTACTGAGTGCAAGTTCCAGTCTTAGACCTAAAAAGAAAAGGAAGTGTTCTGTTTTACAAACCCAAGCCAGTGCTGTGGCCTCTGCTGGTGGGGCCAGCACATAGTCAGCCCACGGCTCCCGGGAGCCCAGAGGTAGCCGTGAGCCCTGCCGTGCCTGACAGTGGACGCCCCGCACGGGCTGCACCCCACGCCCCCTGCCCCTGCCCCTGTGGCGAGCCTGTGCGCTGAACGTCACGAGCTGTTTTCTGTCATTGAAGATCCCCGAAGAGCACGACCTGGAGAGTCAGATCCGCAAGGAGCGGGAGTGGCGGTTCCTGAGGAACACGCGCGTGCGCAAGCAGGCCCAGCAGGTCATCCAGAAGGGTGAGGGGCCATCCTGGGGCCCTCCGTGGAGGGAGGGCACCTGTGACCCCGCTGCTTGCCCAGAGCACGCTCATCCTTGCCCAGCCTTTGCTGCTCCTTCCAGAGGAGACTCTAGGCCAGCAGACGAGAAGTTGGTCTGTGAGGTCGTGCATGGAGCAGGGGAGGGGGCAGCCTGGGGATGGAGAGGCCCAGACCGGTCCTCAGAATTGCCGGCACAGGGGAGCCGTGCCCCAGCACCTGCCTCCCATCTGTAGCCTCGAAAGGCACGGCTTGCCACTGTGAGGTTCGCAGGGCAGGCGGGGAGCGGGAGCCCCAGCTTAACCCGGCGGATGCCCCTCCCCTGGACGCCGAATGCGAGCCCCACGGCTCCACCTACTTGGCGGCTCTGTCCTTGTCATGTGACTTCCTGGCCAGCCACTGGAGCGGGGCGTGGGCATGGGCATGGCGGCTACGCAGGGCGGGCGGCTCCACGCGGAAAGCCTCCCCCTCTGCTCGGCTCACACTCAGCTCCTCACTGCTTGGCATGTCACATGAATGCTGAGCCAGTGCATCCTGTGCCTCGACCTCGTAAGCAGAAGGTCTGTGGGCAAGCAAAGGCAGACACCCTGCAGGTGGAGGTGCGCCCCACGGACACACTGGGCTGACACCCCTCTTCCTTGGTGTTGATTTCAGCCCCTTCTTGTTCCCTGCCTTCCACTTCCTTTGCGCCTCTCCTGGCCCCCGGCAGGCGCTGACTGGCTCTTCCTTATGTACACTGTGACCCTACAGACGCCAGGCGGCCACAGCGCACGCTGTTTCTCTTGCAGGCATCACCAGACTGGACGACCAGATCTTCCTGAACAGGAACCCCGGCGTCCCCTCCGTGGTCAAGTTTCACCCCTTCACGCCGTGTATAGCCGTGGCCGACAAGGACAGCATCTGGTAGGCGTGGCTGCGGGACCTTCCTTCCCTGCGTGGGGTCTCGGGCCGGAACCCACATGCCTTTCCCCCCCCCCAGTCCTGGGGGGTGGTGGGACGTGGCCCCCGCTCTCACCCTCCTGGAGGCCGGCCGTGTGCTACGCAGCTTCACTGACACCAAGCCTCGCCCAGCCTCCTTCCCTGCTCATAAAGCTCGTGCTCCTCACTTCTATCTTTCTCTCTTTTAAAATTGATGTGTGTGTGTGTGTGTGTGTGTGTGTGCATGAACTTGGCATCACAACCATTTTACCTGCACAGCAGGTGGCATTAAGTGGGTTCTCAGGGCTGCACATCCAGCCTGGTCTCCATCTCCAAACTTTCTCATCTCCCTGAAGCCCACAAGGCACTGATGCCCGCTCCGCCGCGCCAGGCCGGGACACGGCGGCCCGGCCGGCCCCCAGCCTGATGTAGACCCGCATGTCTTAGGGCTCCTCCGTGCTCCAGCACATGTCAGAAGGTTGTGCAGTTGCATGTGTTGACCCTTTAATGTGTCCACACATCTGCTCACCTCATAGACGTCTGCACAGGGCCGCTTTCTGTGCAGCCGGGCAGTGTGTGCCCTGGTGGACGCCGATGTGCTCGGCATCGTGTCCTCCAGGCTCCCCTGGGACAGCAGGTGTACTACTCCACCATGCGCACGGCCTGCTTCCGCATCGGGTGCTTGTGTTGCTTCTGCCCCGTGGCTGTTGTGGACAGTGTTGCGTGTGATCATGGGCGCGTGAACATTCAAACCTGTTTCCTCCCAGCCACACACATTCCCAGCAGTGTAGTTGCTGAGTCACATGAAACTCCTGTGTTTACGTGTGTGTGTGTGTGTGTGTGTGTGTGTGTGTGTGTGTGTGTGTGTGTGCAGGTCCTGGGGCTTAAACTCTGAGCTTTTGTGCTCAAGGCTAGCCCTCTACCACTTGAGCCACAGTTCCACTTGTAGCTTTTTGGTGCATAACTGAAGATAAGAGTCTCATCAACTCTCCTATCTGGGCTGGCTTCTAACCTCAGCCCTCAGCTCTCAGCCTCCTGAGTAGTGAGGTTTTGCATTTCCCTAATGACCCGTCTTCTTGGCTCCAGCTTTTGGGACTGGGAGAAAGGGGAGAAGCTGGACTACTTCCACAATGGGAACCCGCGCTACACGAGGGTCACCGCCATGGAGTACCTGAACGGCCAGGACTGCTCGCTCCTGCTGACAGCCACAGGTGAGCGGGCCGGGCTGGCCAGACTAGGGGTGCGGGGGGCGCAGACGCGCCGTTCTGAGGATGCGGTGCCGGCACTGGAGGGCAGCAGCGCGGTTCCAAGGTCCTGAGGCTCTGCGGCCTTATTGGGCAGGCGCACCTCCCAAGACAGCTGTCATTTAGAAGTGGGCGGTTTGTGCTACCGAAAGGGGGTACATACACATGGCAGTTACAGGGCTTGCTCCCCTCCCCAGCCCTTCCATGCCCGGTCAGTGCCCTTCAGCCTCTGTCCTCCCTTCGTGGGGGACCCAGGGCCATGGGCATTGCACGGGAAGGATGGAGGATGCCCCAGGTTGACCCTGTGACCCTGGAGGCCTGCTCACCGCCCTGGGCCTCGGACGCGTGTCCCGCCCTCTCCTCAAGTCCAGTCCCCGCTTCCTGAAGGACAGCTGGAAGGGTTACTTCACACTGTCATGAGTCTCTTTCTGCTGTTGTTTTCTGTTCCCTGGTTTTCTGGTTTGGGTCTGACATATCCTCGTTTGGCATTCCCTTTGGCACGATAGTTTCCAAGGCAGTCACCCTAGGTTGGCAGTTGTTTGCCCTTAGTTCTTTTAGAACGAGTTTCTGGGGCTGGGAAGGCGGTTCAGTGGTAGAGTGCTTGCCTTGCATGCATGAGGCCTTGGGTTCCATTCCTCAGCACCACATAAACAGAAAAAGCTGGAAGTGGCACTGTGGCTCAAGTGGTAGAGCGCTGGCCTTGAGCTGAAGAGCTGAGGGACAGCGCCCAGGCCCAGAGTTCAGGCCCCACGACTGACCAAAGAAAAAAACATGTTTCTGCCACTGGCTTCCAGCCATGTGGGGTAAAAAGTGCAGTGCAAGTGAGACCAGGGGGGTCCCAGGCCCCTCACCCCAGACCCCCCCCCCCCCCGACATATTCATTCTCAGACTTGCCCCTCCTCTCTCCTTAGATGACGGCGCCATCAGGGTCTGGAAGAATTTCGCTGATCTGGAAAAAAACCCGGAAATGGTGACTGCCTGGCAGGGCCTCTCAGACATGCTGCCAACAACGCGAGGTGCGCCGGGGCGTCGGCCCTCTGGAAGGAGGGCTGTGACCACGGGAGGTGGGGTCCAGTGCTTCTGGGCCAGCTCCCATTGGTGTCCGTTCCCCAAATCCACAAGAGCACGTCAGCCTCGGGAGCCTGCGTGCTCCTGAGCCGTGGTCAGTGACGGCGGTAGACCTGTCCCAGCCTCTGTGTCTGCTATGGAGCCATGTGGGGCTTGGGAAAGCGTGGCCCTGGCCAGGCCTGAGGTGCTGACATCACGTCGTGATGTCCAGTAGAGTGCGTGGCCGGGGACCCATGTGTGGTGAGGGGCATGGCTGGGTGCCCACCTGAACGTCACTAGTGTCTCCGTGGTCCCGCCTATCCTGGCCACACTCACCCACTGGCCTGGTCAGACCTGTAGGTAGTTCTGGAAGAATAGAGCTTTCCAGGCAAGAGCAGCTAAGAACTGGCGAGAAGGGACGCCCTCAGCCTCAGAAGCTCGGGGGTATGGGCCCGTCTGCTGGCAGCCCTCAGAGCCCCAGAAGCTCTGCGGGGGAAGAAGGGCCGTCTGCTGGGTTCAGGGGTTGTAGGTGCCCCTTGTACCTGTGCGATTGGCCAGAACAAAGCAGCCCTAGAGCCCCAGGCTGACCCCACATCGCTTCCTCCACAGGAGCAGGGATGGTAGTGGACTGGGAGCAGGAGACCGGCCTCCTCATGAGCTCTGGCGACGTGCGGATCGTCCGCATCTGGGACACGGACCGCGAGACCAAGGTGCAGGTAGGCATGCTGCACAACGGGCCCCACACTGCCCTCCAGAGACAGATCCGCTCACCACAGACCAGCAGACCATGGCCTCCCCGCCGGCACAGGGCCAGGAGGAGGAGAGGGGTGGTGCTGCCCACCCAGCACCAGAACCTGCAGCCTCTGGAAGCTAACTACCTCCTGGCACACTCATTGGGGCACCTTTGACCCTGCACCGTAGCGTATTAAGCCTATGCTAATCCTAATTATTTTCAAATATTGTTCTATCTGTGCAAATTAGGGAATATCAGAAATCAGTAGGGTGAAATATTTTAAATTGAATGCTTAATTACTTGACTATGCATCATTCTGGGGGGAGGGGGTGCTAGGAATTGAACCAGAGCCTCATGCATGCTAAGCACATGCTCTACCACTGAGCATTTCTACCCTTAATGCAACTGTTATTTTCAGTTTTAGGAGACAGAGAACACTGGTTTGTTTTTTGTTTCTTTGCCAGTCCTGGGGCTTGAACTCCAGGGCCTGGGCCCTGTCCCTGAACTGCTTTTGCTTAAGGCTAGCTCTCCGCGGGCTGGGAAGGTGGCTCAGTGGTAGAGCGCTTGCCTTGCATGCCAGAGGCCCTGGGTTCGATTCCTTAGCACTACATAAGCAAAAAAGAAAAAAGCCAGAAGTGGCGCTTGGCTCAAGGGGTAGAGCGCTAGCCTTGAGCTGAAGAGCTGAAGGACAGTGCCCAGGTCCAGAGTTCAGGCCCCACGACTGGACCCAAAAAAAAAAAAGGCTAGCTCTCTGCCACTTGAGCCACAGTGCCACCTCCGGCTTTTTCTGTGTCTGCTGAGGAATGGAACCCAGGGCTTCATGGATGTTAGGCAAGCGCTCTACCACTAAGCCACCTTCCCCATCCGAGAACACCGGCTTTGTCTAAGACACCTGAAAGAGCGGAGGAGGCTGCAGGCCGCCCTTCCAGGCCCGCGTTGTGCCCACCTCCTTTTGGGCAAGGCCTGACCAACAGGCGCCCGGGCCCTGGCTCAGGACACTGTCTTCCTGGATGCCTCAGGCACTGCCCTGTGGTGACACCCAGGCAGGAAGGAAGCAGTGTGCTTTGAGCTGGTGCGGTGCCAGCCTGGTCACCCCCTGCTGGTGGAGGCAGAGCAGCACTTCTACCGCCGGGCAGGGGCTCCAGCCCAAAGTGATTCTTCCCGGACTTGTGCCTTCCCCCCCCACCGCCCCAGCCCATGACGGTGCCACACAGCTTCCTCCACTCTTTGGGGGAGCCCCAAACCCCCAGGAAGTCAGCCTCTCATTTTCTGCTCCATTCCCTGTAAGAGGCCGGGGCCTGGCCCGCGCCCCTGTCCGCAGGCTTGTCCCAGGCCCCCGGCTGCGGTTGGTACAGAGGTGCCGGGTGCATCTGGTGCTGGGGGAAGAGCCAGCTGCTCCTCCCAGGTCTCTGGCACTCACACAGACCACGGCTCCGCATCCCATGCGTGTGGATTTCCTCTCCAGGGCCTCGTGCGATCGGAGAAGCACTCCCCCCCCCCCCCCCCCCGGCCCGCTTTTCATTTCCTGCGCTCGGCACTCCTCTGCCCTCCACAGTGGTTCTGGCCGCCGAGGGGCTGGGGCTGTTCCTCGGCTCCTGCCTAGCCTAATGAAGGTTTTTAAGGGAGAGTTAATGAAGGCTCCATGTTGACAAAATATGCTTTGTCTTTCTTTTCAGGAAAGAGGGAGATGTTGTTGGAAAGTTTAATTGGCACTGGGAGCTGGGCATCCCTGGAGATGCCCACAGGCTGCCTGGGCTCCGCTCTGCCTGGTTTGGCTGGTGGCGCAGGTGCTGGGCAGATGCCTTGGCGGGTCGAGGCTGGACGAGTTCTGGGAGGCCTGCCCTGCCCTCGCCCCGGCCCGGGCCCCGGCCTGGACCCCAGCCCCGGGCTCCTCGGTCGGTGACAGCTTCCAGTGGAGACTAAGCCAGCGGGCAGCCAGGCCAGCAAGGTGTCCGTGAGGTGCTGCGGGCAGCAGCGCGCCGGTCCCTCACCTCTCTCTGTTTGGGCCTAGGACATCCCCACGGGTGCCGACAGCTGCGTGACCAGTCTGTCCTGCGACTCCCACCGCTCGCTCATCGTGGCTGGCCTGGGCGACGGCTCCATCCGCGTCTACGACAGAAGGATGGCGCTCAGCGAATGGTAACTCCCCGCCGTCCCCCCCGGGGCTCCCGGGGCTCCTCCCAGTGGTCAGCGTCACTCCGCCCCAGCCCCGTGAGACGGGTGGCTTCCCCTCGAAGCCCAGGGAGCCCCCCAGCCCTGTACAGCTCAGCCCGGCGCAGCTCAGCCCGCTGCAGCTCATCGCTGTGGTCCAAGGCTTTGCTCCACTCCAGGCCGCCCCTCCCTCCCCCTGCCTCTGTGAGCCTGCCCACAGCTGCCCCAGGGCCTGTGAGGCCGAGCCCACCCTGACCCCAGCCCCCTTCCCCGCAGCCGAGTCATGACGTACCGGGAGCACACGGCCTGGGTGGTGAAGGCGTACCTGCAGAAGCACCCGGAAGGCCACATTGTGAGCGTGAGGTAAGGGGCAGGGCATCCTCCTCCCTCACTTATTTTGGTCTTGGTGTTGGGCCGGCTGGAGAGCGCTGATGGTTCCCACTCACCGGCGCCACGCCTCACGGGGCAGAATGGTCCGGGTGCCGGGCACAGGACTGGCCCAGACACCTGCCCACCAGAGCGCCCTGGCTGGGCCCCGCAGCTCCCTGCCTCACACGGCAGCAGGGCCACGGTGCCCGGGCAGTGGTGGCACCCGGCCAGACATGAGAGCTTCACTCTGGAGCCTTGGTCAGCGCATAAATTCAGCTCTGCCGGGCGGTAAATACTGCGCTGCGAGCAGCCAATAGTTATTTGCTGCTCAAGGGGCGATGGAATGTAATTTACAGTCACAAAGCCACCATCTCTCAAAGAGATGCTCCTCCCCTCTGGTTTGTGATATAAAAACAAAACATAGTTCCAGAAGTGCGCGGGGGAGAGGCAGCGTGGGCTCCCGCGCGGGGTGGGGTCAGACACGGGTCGGAGGCCTTGCTCCCAGCACCACACAAGCCTTTTCTGGCTTGAAGGCAAGAAGTTGGAGGGGGGCCTGTGTGTCCGCGGGCGCTACGAGGCCCGCAGAGGCGTGCCGTGTCAACAGGAATCAGACTTGCCAAGGCCAGTGCCCCACACCGGTGTCTCCGTGGCCTCTCCTAGTGTCAATGGCGACGTGCGCTTCTTTGACCCTCGGATGCCGGAGTCTGTGAACGTGCTGCAGATCGTGAAGGGGCTGACAGCCCTGGACATTCACCCCCAGGCAAACCTGATCGCATGGTAGGCGCCCGGCCCGCCCCACCCCGCCCCGCGCCAGGCCCTCCCCAGCACCGGAAGTTGCTGTGGCTCGGCCTTCTCTCCCCACTCCCTCGTGCCCCTTGATGGAGAACAAGCTGGAGGGTTTAATTATGTTAGCAGAAAAGGAAAGGCCTCTTCCCGCTGCCTGCCCCTCCCTCCCTGAGCCACCGCCCCGACGCGGGGCCCCTCCTGCCCACAGCCCCCCCCCCCCGCCCCCCCCCACGCCGGGCCTCTCCCTCCCTGAGCCACCGTCCTGATGCTGGGGAACCTCTCACCCACAACCCCCCCCTCCCAACGCCAGCCACCTCCACCCACAGCCCCCCCCACGCCAGCCACCTCCACCCACAGCCCCCAACGCCAGCCACCTCCACCACAGCCCCCGACGCCGGGCCCCTCCCGCCCACAGCCCCCCCCCACGCCAGCCACCTCCACCCACAGCCCCCCCCACGCCGGCCACCTCCACCCACAGCCCCCCCACGCCAGCCACCTCCACCACAGCCCCCCCACGCCGGCCACCTCCACCCATAGCCCCCGACGCCGGGCCCCTCCCGCCCACAGCCCCCCCCCACGCCGGCCACCTCCACCCACAGCCCCCCCCACGCCAGCCACCTCCACCACAGCCCCCCACGCCAGCCACCTCCACCCACAGCCCCCGACGCTGGCCACCTCCACCCACAGCCCCCCCCACGCCAGCCACCTCCACCCATAGCCCCCCCCCACGCCAGCCACCTCCACCCACAGCCCCCCACACCGGGCCCCTCCCACCCACAGCCCCCCACGCCAGCCACCTCCACCCACAGCCCCCGACACGGGCACCTCCTGCCCACAGACCCTTAAGCTTAGCCACCCAAAAGGAGGCGAGATTAACTTTCTGACCTTCCCCCAACCCCACAGCGGCTCCGTGAACCAGTTCACCGCCATCTACAACGGCAACGGCGAGCTGATCAACAACATCAAGTACTATGACGGGTTCATGGGCCAGCGGGTCGGCGCCATCAGCTGCCTGGCCTTCCACCCCCACTGGGTCTGTCTCCCCTTCCGCCGCAGGGCGGGGGGCGGGTCTCGGAGGGCCGGGCCACCCCGGGCCCTTCCTGTGCCTTCTAGGCGCTTGGGGAACCAGCCTACAGTCCCTGGGGAAGTTAGGAAAGGACAGCAGGGGTCTCGGGGTACCCTTCCCTCCTGTGAAGGAGCAGCCATGCCAGCGTCAGTCTGCCGCTGGGCTGGGGCTGGCCGGTCAGGCCTTGGGTGTGCGACGGGCCCTGCCCAAACGCACGGCATGGGATTCCCAGACTGCCCCGCGGCCGTGGAGAGGAGCTGCCGGAACGTCTGAGATGGGGCTGGGCGAGGCGTGGCTCCTGAGAGGCCCCCGGCCGCGCCTGGGGGTGGCGTCCCTGGGGGTGGCGTCCGTGCCCGGGGGTGGCGTCCGCGCCCGGGGGTGGCGTCCGCGCCTAGGGGTGGCGGGCCGCTCCCCACTCACCCTCCGAGATGGGGCTGGGCGAGGCGTGGCTCCTGAGAGGCCCCCGGCCGCGCCTGGGGGTGGCGTCCGTGCCCGGGGGTGGCGTCCGCGCCTGGGGGTGGCGTCCGTGCCCGGGGGTGGCGTCCGCGCCTGGGGGTGGCGGGCCGCTCCCCACTCACCCTCCTCCTCCTTCCCCTGCAGCCTCACCTGGCCGTGGGAAGCAACGACTACTACATCTCGGTGTACTCGGTGGAGAAGCGCGTCAGGTAGCCGCGTGTGGCCCCGCAGGCCGCAGCCGCCCTCACTGTACATAGCGACCCGGCTGGGCGCACCGTGCTGCTTCGTGTCTTGGCGGCGTTGTCCCGAGCGTCGGGGAAGGAGCGCGGCTGACGGCACCAGGACCTCGCGGGCGTAGTGCGTGTGCCGTGCCCCCGTCTGCCCCGTGGGGCGCGTCTGCTGTGCTTTTCATAGAATCAGAGCCTTGGGCCTGGCAGAGAAGCCGCGCGGGCCCTGATCCTGACAGCCCACCGTCCTCTCCAGACCAGGAGCAGGAGCCCCCAGAGCAGCTGGACAGCGCTGGAGGGGCGGGGGAAGGGAGATGTCGCCCCACGCACCCCGGCACCCTGAGGGCTGCGGTGGCGCGGCCCCCCCCCCACCACGCCCTTCGCGGGGAGGCTCCTGGCCGGCGCCCGGCCCACGGCCCACCTCGCCCGCACGCCACCCTGTCCCTCTGCTGCGCCATGCACACGTGCGCGTGCATGCCGCCACGGTCCCCGCCATGCCCACGCGTGGGTGTGCACACGCAAGGCACCCTGCTCTCCCCACCCGTGCACACCCCGCCGCAGCGCATGCAGGGGGCCCGGGGCGCCGGAGGCTGTGGGCTGCAGTCTCGTGGCAGCAGAGCTCCGCCTCTGGCCGGGGCGTCTGGGGGCGCGAGTGCAGGCTGGGGAGCCGTGGGCGCGCGTGCGCGGGCCCTGCGGAGGGCCCGGCCACCACGACGATGGTGTTCCAGGAGCGTTGTCCACTCTCTTTGTGAATCAGGATCTCAGAGGAGGAATGAGGCGGCTTGATGGACGCTGCCGGGGCGGGCTGGAGGAGGCAGGAGACGGGGGATGAAGGCGGCCTGGGCGGCACCGCAGACCTGCCTCAGAGAAGCCAGGGACCCGGCCCCTCGTGCTGCCGTTCTGTGGTGCGGAGTCCACCCCCAGCACTGGGCAGACCCAGGGCCCGGTGGAGCGGGAGGTGGAGCAGGACAGAGGAGGGAACTAGGAAGCCAGGGCCCGACAGGAGGCCACGGGGTGCGTGCGGCCCCTCCCCCCAGCAGTGTGGGGGGTCGTCCCCTGCTCCGCTCTGCGGGGTGTCCAGTGGGAACCTTCCGGAAGCAGAGCTGTGCCCACAGACGCCAAGCACTGGGGCCATAGCTGGCCATCCTCACCTGGTCTGTCTCCAGGCAGAGCCTCTGCCGGCCACGCGCAGTTGGCCTCAAGATCGGGGGGGGGGGGTCCCCCCTCCCACCCCTCCCCCACCGCCCAGCGCGCATCGGGCCCCTCCTGCTCCGTCTCCACTGGTCTGATGCGAAAACTCAATCATGAAGTTAACCAAGGCTCGAAAGAGCCCTGACCTAGAGTTTGTTATCTCTATTTATTTTACCAAAATGAGAGTTGAAAGGGACTGGCAAGACATGGACTTCAGATGCGAGACTAAGCAGCGGCCAACAGCGTGTTGTTAATAAAGAGTAAACAAGTGCAGGCGGCCGCCGCGCCCACCTGTGGGTGATGCTGGGCAGGGGGAGGGTCAGGCCTGCCTTCCAGAGCCGTTAGGAGGGGTGGGGCCGGGTGGGGGCAGGACTGGGACCAGCCCCCGTGAACTCCTCTGGGTGGAGCCTCAGCTTGCAGCCCTCCAAGCCCAGGCCACAAGGGGGGATGACGGGGATTGAGGCCATTGCCATGGACACTTGGAATCAGGCTAAACAGTGGCTTGTCTTGCCGGCACCAGGTGAACTGAGAGCACTATTTGTCCCGTTAGCACACTTTCTCCACCAGTGCGAATCGATGCTCCTGCCGGCGGGAACAGGAAGTGGGGTCCCACAGGTCCCCCGCTGCCCAGAGCCCCCGCTCCACCTCGGGACCAGATGCCTGGCCCTCGGGTGAGGGACCAGAGACGGCCATCCCTGAAGAGCGCCGCAGAGCTTTCTCTGGGCAAGGCCGACCCCTGCTTTGCCAGCCAAAGCCTCAGTACCACAGCGAGGGCAAGGCACCCCCCACCCCCCACCTTACCCCCCTCCCCCCACACACACCGCTGGCCGCAGACCGCCCTGGGACCGCCAGAGGCTCAGCCTTGGTCGCTGGGCGGCTCCCGCCGCTGGGAACGTGGAGGCCAAGGGGGAAGGGGCACCAGGGGCAGGGGCAGGCCAGGTGCCCCGTCCTCAGGCTGGAGCCCTGATGCCAGCCCTTCCACACGAACTCTGGAGAAGCGCGTCAGAGGCTGGAGGCCTGGACCGGCCTGTGCCTGAGACCCAGAGCCGCGCGGGGCCCGGGCAGCGCTCTGACTGTCCAGGGCGCGGGAGGACAGCCCATGTGAGTCAGTCAGCCGTGACCAGCGGTGGTGACCCAGGGGCACTCGCCCCGCTGGCGGCCAGAGGCTGCCCCAGCCCCAGGGCTCCCCGGGCTGAGCCGAGGCCAATGAGGCGTCGAGGGGGCCCCCTCCCCACCCCGCTCCCTCCCACGGCGCGGGGCCAGGGCTCCGGCCGCTGGGCGCCTCCCATGGTTGCGCTCACACTGGACATGGGTGCGTGGCAGCCATGGTGTCCCCAGTGTGGCACCGGTAGCCTGTGACCCCACACTCCCCCTTTGCCCCTGCCCCCCCCCCGTCCCGCTTAGCTGCCCACTGGTTGGAGACTAGCCTGAGAGTGGCAGGAAAGATGGTGCCCGCTCCACAGTCTGCCCCTAGTCTGCCTGCCTCAGTCTGTCTACGCCTTCCTCTCTGAGGTTGGGGCCCCAGTGTCTACCCAACAGCCCGAGGCCCTGCGGACGGGCACCAGACACCGCTCCTCCAGGGAGGAGGCCAGGGTCAATGGGGTCAGCGTACTGGGGAGCAGGTGCCCCCCATGCAGACAGGAAGCTGCCCACCCAGGAAGCCCCCCCCCCGCCAGCAGGGCAGGGGCGCCTCGCCTCCAGGCCTCCCTCCCCTCCCTCCCTTGCGCCCTGGGGCCTGGCGGAGGGGGGGCGGGTAACGGCCATGTAGCCTCTGGCCACTGGCTGGCAAGACCAGAGCACGGGGACTGCGGACTCCTGAGGAGCCCCGGGCAGAGCCGACCCCCGGCCCCTGACCCTGAGTCAGCTTTCCAATTCCCAGGCTGCCCAGCCCTCAGCAGCTGCTGGGAGCCACGGCGCCCGGGCCCTGGGGAGGGCGCAGCTGCCCCCTCCACCGAGGGGGCGCGGACCAGCCCCGAGCGCAGGTGAGGCCACGTGCGGACACTCGTGAGTCATTCCGGGCCACGGAAGCCGACTGTAGAGCAGCCGCATGGGCAGCAGTGGGGGGGGGGGGGGCAAGCCGGGAGCCCTGGCTGGCGACACGGCAGCAGCCTGGAGAAAGAACTGGACCGGACCAGCTCCAGCTGGAAGGGGCAGGGGCGGAGCTGGAGGGAGGGAGGGGCCTGGAGCGGGTTCCGGGGGGCTGGGGGCCTGCGGTGGGGACAGCGCCCGGGTTGGTGCTCTTTGAGCCCAGCGTGCAGACCAGCTCTGTGAAGGAAAGCCCAGGTGGGTCAGACCATGCCTGGGGCCTGTCAAGCAGAACACGGTGCCCCCCCACACCCTGCCCAGGGGCCCCCAGACAGCTCCCGCCAGGGCAGAGTGGAGCGAGCTCACAGAAACTTGCATTTTGTGTTTCGTAGTTTAACAAAACTTTGGGAACAAAAATGACATAGCAAAGAAACTAAAAACGCAACAAAAAAGCGAGTTCCAGAACACAATCATCAACGCTCTCCTCACAAAACCCACGTGGCGTCACGGGCAGAAAAAGCAAAGCGTCCTCAAGTTCATGTGAAATTCCAAGGGTGCCAAACAGCCAGGACCGGTGGGAAAAGGAGTTGGGGGATTCAGACTTGTGGGTCACAATACTGACTTCAAAGCTACAATAGTCAAACCACTGCACAGGCCCGGCAAAACGGCAGGAGAGAGCAGAAACAAACCACAGACCACCATGAATTCCTTTTTATTTTTTGGTGCTGGTTCTGGTGCTTGAACCCAGAACCTAGGCTCTGACCCTGAGCCTTATTGCTTAAGACAAGGGCTCTACACCACACAGCTCCACTTGCAGCTGTTTTGGTAGTTTGCTGGAAAGAAGTCTCAGCAGCCTTCCTGCCAGGGCGGGCTTTGAACTGCAGTCCTCAGAGCTCCCTCCTGAGCCACATCTTTGTGAGCCACCAGCGCCCGGCCGTGCGGTGATTTTTGACAGGGGTGACCCTACCAATCAGCTGCCCCCATGCACAGTGACAGACCCACACTCTTAGCTAATACCACATACAACAATGATCTGAAGTTACAAAGCAAGTCAGAAGAACAGGGGTAAATGTTTAGGACCAAGACAGTCCTAGAACTGAGTCCAAGAAAGAAAAAGATGGATAAATATCAAGAAGGAACGTTACATGTCAAGGACATTTTCAGAAATGGGGGAGAGACCGCGGGGGGAACAAGGGAGCTGAGCCTGGTAGCACACACCTGTAATCCCAGCATTGGGGAGATTAAGACAGGAGGATTATGAGTTTGAGGACAGCTGGGCTATATAAGATTGCTATTGGAGAAGGAAACGGAAATACTCACCTAATGGAATATTTGAACCTAAAAAGCAATCAAGCATTGATACCTACTACCATGCAGAAGACCTTCAACTGCTAAGCAACTGGTAGGGGCCAGACACAGTCACATTGAGTAGTCCCTTCGCATGGAAAACCGCACAACAGTTAAGTCCACGGAGCTAGGGGGACATGGTTGCCAGAACCGGGGCGGGGGGGGGGGGGCGGCATTGGCAACAGAGGTACAGGGCAGGGTATTTTTTTTGAGGGGGATGATGATGATGCTTGAGTGCAGCCAGAGCTGGAATGGCGCATTATGAATGCACTCAATACCGCGGATTCGGAGCTTTTACGTTCACTGCGTGTCTGGCCCGGCTCCAATTGTCTTCAGTGTACAAAACGGCGATCCTGACGGCAGAGCCCACGGCTCCGGGCTGGAGGGAAGCTCGACCTTCATCAGCATGAGTGAGGGAGGAGATGTCGGAGGTCATGGGAAGTGGCCCCTAGAAATCGCCCTGGGACCTCTCCAGGGGGTCGGGGGTAGAACTGCCTTGGGGGGGTGACTGCGTCCCAGGCTCTCCCCTGGTGGTGGGGCAGAGGCCCTTGCAGGACAGAACTCGGCCCAGTGCTCTGCCCCTCGCCCTTCCATCTGCAGCCATGTAGTCAGAGCCAGGGCCTGCACCGCCAAGAACTCACTGGAATTCTCCAGAATTTGCTTATCTATTACCCAGTCTTGGATGCTTTTTTAAAGCAGCATGGACAGATTCAGGAATTAGCCAGGAATAAGGGGCCAGGACTGGATCCACATCCAGACCCCAGATGAGCTGTGCCCTGGGGACCCCAGCACCCCGCGCACCGGCTCTGAGGAAGTCTCCGGATGAGCAGGCCTGGGGAGAGGAGCCTGGTCAATGCCTGGCCACGAAGGTCAGCAAGCTGACCGCCTGCTCCCCAGTTCCGAGCTGGGGTGACAGTTGGGCTCCGTGCTCTATCGCTGTGTAAGCCACATCCCCAGGACCTCACCACACCTGAGGCCAAGAACCCAGAAGGAGCTGGAATCCAGCCGTCCCGGGGGAGGGAGGAGGCCGCTGCGTCCCGAGGGACCAGCCTGGAGCACGGCTTGCAGTGGTCGCTGCCTGGCGCATTGCTGCAGCAAATGAGGGGAGACGGGGCCCGCGTGGGGTGCCTCAGCGCGGGCTGCACCCCATGTGTCCCGTGGCAGCTGCTCCCCAGTCTCAGGCAAGCCCAGCCTCCTCTTCCCCTTCCTCACGCATCAGACCACAGCCATGGTCTCTGCACACAACCCAGCACCGCCCCAGACACCGCACTGTCCCCCAAGGGGCCCGCACCAGGCCCTGCCAGCCCCCGCCGCACCCACAGCCCCCCACCCCTGCCGTGGAGATGTCAGCCCGCTTCTGGCATTACGCCGTTGCTCTGTGCGGTGCCTCCCTTTCCCCTGTGAGATGCGGGTGGCCTTGGTGTCCTCATAGGCTGGTGTGGGCCTGGCGTCTCAGCCAAGAATTGCTTTCACCACACCCACCCACCCTGGCGCATGACTGAGGGGCTGCGTGCCCCGATGCCCTCCCCACCCCTCAGCCCAACCTCTACCGCTGCCCAGGAAGACACAGAGCCCCACGCCCATTTCCCCCTCCTGACGCCGCGGGGCACAGAAGAGCCACAAAAACCCACGCCAGGCTCTCCCAGCCACGTGGCCCCCACCCCTGGCGGTGGGCAGAGGCCTCTTCCTCAGAGCCCGCCCCCCCCCCACCGCCGGCCGGGCATCACCCCAGGGCCGAGCACTCGCCACAGGACACCCATGATGGAAGCAGACTGCATCTGCGAGGGAAGACGTCACTGCAGGAATGAATACGTGAATGGTGAGCAAGTGGAGGTGGATGAAGGAGGGAGACTCCACCAAGCCCGGGCAGGCCACCCCCTCCCACGGCTGGATTGTGG